ATATAATTATGAGAAATTATTATGGCTCACTTGCCGTGTTCTTAAAGGTATAAAATAGTTATACTATATAATTACCCAAATTATTGTATTCATTCTATATTTAAATGTTTTATATAATTTTAGTTCTTTCTGTGTGCTCACGAAACAAACCAGCTATTGTGGAAGCCGGTGGAATGCAAGCTTTGGCAATGCATCTTCAGCATGACAGTCAGCAATTAGTGTATAATGTTCTGTGGACTTTGAGAAACTTATCAGACGCAGGAACAAAGGTAATTCGAACAATATTGATAAATTGTTTAAATATTAACATAAATTTATAATTTAAAAATTGAATTTCATAATATGAATATTTAAATTTCTGATATTCTTATATACACAAACTATTGTTGTCTTAAAGGAGCACACAACACAAAATATAAGTTTTTTTTATTTGAAAGAATGTTCAATTCTAAGGATAATGTTATAGGTTTTACGTTTCTACTCACATTATTCAATAAGTTATGAGCAATTGAAAAAAGACGTGTGACGTCACTGGGCCTTAGTCATCGTAATTGCCTATCTTATACATGTAAAAGTTCCTCGCTTCACACAACGATTTATCAACCTAAACATTTTATTTTTGCAATTTAATTTACATGTAAATATGTGGTTTTATGTGTTTAAGACGATGCAAGTATCAGAATTGCAATACAATGTTTAGTTTTTTAAATATTAAAAATGTTAAAAGAGACATTTTGGTTAAACGGTGGACCCATTGTTTGAACGCCATACGCTGCTTGCCATGACATGTGGATTAACCAAAATGTTTCTTTTAAGATTTTTAATATTTAAAAAACTAAACATCGTATTGCAATTCTGATACTTGCATAGTCTTAAACACTTAAAACCACATATTTACATGTAAATTAAATTTTAAAAAGAAAATGTTTAGTTTGATAAATCGTTGTGTGAAGCAAGGAACTTTTACACATATAAGATAGGCAATTACGATGACTCCGGCCCAGTGACGTCACGCGGCTATTCTACATCTCTTAATATCTCTTAAAGTAATATTTTTTTTTATATCGTATCTTCACAAATTCATTTCATATTACCATAACTACAATAATATAACATTTAAAAAAATTTAAAGAATTTTTTTATTTGTGTTGTGTGCTCCTTTAATGAAAGCTTTCTTTCAAACATTAAAAATTATTGTTTAAATTTGATGGTCTATAATACCCTTTATTACCAAACAATATAATACATTTTAACTTTATTAAAATAATTGTCTTTAATTCATAAAAAAATATTTTTAGGTTGATGGATTAGAACAACTATTGCAATCATTAGTTGCTGCATTGGGTCACTCAAATATAAATATTGTAACTTGTGCTGCTGGAATATTATCGAATTTGACGTGTAATAACCAGAGAAACAAGTTAACTGTTTGCCAGTTTGGAGGTGTTGAAGCTCTTGTACGTGCAATCATGAACGCTGGGGACAACGAGGAGATAACCAAACCTGCTGTAACATTTCATTCACACATTTTTACAGCTTAAATTATTTATAAATCATAAATTTTCTTTCCTTGTAGGTTTGTGCTTTAAGACATATAACTTCAGGACACGCTGAAGTCGAAAACGCTCAAAATGCAGTTTGTCGATCAGGTGGTGCTCAAGTTGTGGCAAAGCTATTACAACCATCATCTCATTGGCCTCTTATTAAAGCTGTAATTGGTTTGATCAAAAATATAGCACAATGTAAAGCAACACATGGACTACTTCGTGAACACAGTGCCATACATAATTTAGTTGGACTTTCAATGCGTGCTTTCCAAGATCTTCAGAATGTAATTATTCTAATGAAATATATTAAAATGATTTTATAAATTTAAACAGTAATATTTATAACTTATTCCATTTCAGCATTCAAATACTAGTGTAAAACCAGAAGGAGTCCGAATGGAAGAGGTCATTGAATGTGTTATTGGAACTTTACACATTTTAGCTAAAGAATCACAAAGTCGATCGATAATGCGTTCTCAGCAAGGATTTATGGCTATATTAATACAGTTGTTATTTAACAACTTTGAAAATATACAACGTATAGCAGCTGACACCTTAAACGAATTAGCTGCGGATAAAGAAGGTGCCGATATGATAGAGGCTGAAGGAGGAACTGCCTCACTTAGTGAATTATTACATTGTGGAAATGAAGCTCTTGGTTAGTATTTATTTTTATTTATTTTTATTTTATTTTTAATAATTTGTTTATTTTTCTAGCTACATGTGCAGCTGCTATTCTATCAAGGGTTTCTGAACATAAATTGCAAAAATGTCTGTCTATGGAACTCAGTAACTCATTATTTAGTGAAGATCAAAATTTATGGCCATCTGGTGATCTTGGTATAGCACCAGATCTTCAGGTATATATTATTAGGTTTATCTTTTTATTAGTGTGCAGATATTTGATAAGACATAAGAGCGTGAGATATACACCTTCATAATATTTATCTATGAACATTCTGTATTGGTAAGTCCAGTATTTAAATTAGATATGTGTGTTACAGTTTGATCCACGAGCTAGTTGTATTACATTACAATATAATTCCTGCACATAGTTCAATATACTCTTATCAATCCATCCATATTTAGCTTGACACCCTATTTTGTATTTCTATTTCAGTATTATTAGTATCCAAGTATGTTTGTTTGAAGTTGTTTTTATGTTTTTTAGTTAGGCATTATAAATATTAGAAAATTTGCACACTTGTACATTGTTTGAGCTTTTGTGTGTTTTTCAACCAACAGGACATGATAGGTGCGAACGAGTATGATATGTATGGTCAAGGATTGAGCACTGTCTACAGTGGTGTTGGGTCACCCAAACACAGTGCTTCAGGTACACTTTAAATACAAAAACCACTGCTTGAATGTATTTTCATAATAGTTAACATAATATTGCTTTAGCTCACTTTTTTATTTCATCACATTGCTTGGGGATTTGGTAAGTTATAGTACTACCAAGTACCAACTAAAATGACTAATATTTTTTTATTGTATATTTTGTAAGTATTCAATTATAACAATTAGGGATGGTTTGAACTTAAGAGTTCACAAATACACGTTTTTGAATAGTTAAAATTTAAATCAATTTTAATGTATCATAATATTAATGTTATAGAAATATTGACATTGACATTGACATTGACTGCCCAAGCATGTTGTTTCTATGTTGCCCTATGGTATGTTTACTTGTCAAAAAGGAATTAATCTTCTGTCATACTCAAAACATTTCAAACCTTTTGATTAAATTTTTTTGAATTACTTTTACTTTAGCGTGTGAAAGTTTAAAAAGCTCAAGTACCCATCCCTAATTATTATGATGTATTATAATATAAAATGTATATTATATGTAAAGTGTAAACTATTAAAGACTTGAGATCAATATAATCCAAACAACTAACATTATTTAAATGTATGTCAATTTTTTAAATTTGAATCTTAATTAAATTGAAATTTTTAATAAATTAAACTGACATACTTTTTCAATGTAGAGTTTCCAACTTCTTTCTTAATATTTATTATAATCAATATTTAATTGGTGATAGGTGATTAATAGTTAAGTTAGCTACTAACACATTTTTTTAATGTCTACTATGTGTTCAACTCACTGAATATTACCTATATTCTAGTATATTCTTAAGTTTTAATGTTTCTCTCGTGTAACTTTTTCTAAATCATAAAATATTTAAAAATTGCTTTCACTAACAGTAATGTCTTAATATTAGTTTACTAACAGTTGAAATTATTATAGTATTATATCATGGATTATAATACTGTATATTAATGTAATATTTCACATGTTTTCCAGGGTATGACACGCTACCCTTAGATTCAATGGAAGGATTAGAAATCTGTCCTCAACAAGATTCCAGTTATGGCTCAATGGATGTCGATTTTGTTATTCAAAATGACATGACTTCTTTGCCACTCTAACGATGAGATGAACAATGGCATGTATTTGAAATTGATGTTCAAAGTGTATACGTTTATTTTAAATTATTTGGATTACTGATTTATGTAATAAATTTAGTTTTTATATATGCCATGAGTTAAGTAAAAATATCATTGAATATGGAAATGTACTTACAGATGGATATAATTAAATATTTTAAGTTTTAATCCATTATTGACTGTTAAATATTTAATCGCTTAATCCCAGCAATAGTAAGACAGAAAAATAAGTATAAAGTAAAATGAACTTCTTATATTAGTGTTTTATTTATCATTGAGACTTATTTTAAATATTTTTTTTATTATGTGTACTGTGTAGTATGTAATTTTACATTATTATTAAATTTGAATGTTTAATGCTTCAATTGTTGCAGTTTATTTTGTTTTTTTTTCTTGTATCGACAAATTTTATCCCAAACAGGAAAGTACTATCATTGTATTAATTAAGTTATAAAACTGTGCCTCAGTAATATAGGTTTTTAAGAAATAAGTTTTATTAATTATATGATCTATAATTATTAAATATAACTCCAAAAGTAAATGAAAATTGTTCAAATGTTAACCAATTAACAAACATTCCTCAATAATTGATAGTTAATACTAAGTCTCATTTAAGAAAAACCTCCGGTAGCCACTGATAGTTGTCAGGCTTTGTCTGAACACTACCCTTGATTAAAACGAATTTCCAAGAAAGATGGTTGTTAGAAAACAATAAATACATTTTGAAGGTGTAACACTTACTCCACTGTTTAGCATGCTTCTAAAATATATAATATAAATACTACTATAGGCATTTCATTTTTATTTCGAAATATTCCTTAAGCAAATAACATTTATTTACCTATAAGGTTATTTAGTTAATTTATACCAGTGTAATAATATTTAAATGTTTACAAGTTTAAAGTTCAAAATAGTGCCAGATCACTTACAGTATTATTTTAGGTACATAAATGGAATATATTGAGTTAAGTAGATATATTATGAGTTATGTCGAAAATCAAATATTTTTTTTTTTATGTATATATTATGATCCAAATAATTAACAACCACTAAGTATAAAACCTTCTCAAATAAATATGTTATTTCGATAAATTAAAAACTAAATATAAATTATATCACAGAAAAAAATAATTAATATATTAGATAATTAGTTACACATAAATTCATAAATTTATAATCTAAACAAAACAACATTAAACTATTCTAATACAGGGTTATAAGTGTTAGTCAACTCGGTTGTTAACTGATATAATTCATCATAAAAGACATCATTTTGGCGTAATTGTTTGTAATAAGTTTCTAATGTGTAAAATGATTGATATAAATCCTTATTCCCTTGTAATTTAACTTTGCATAATTTTTGCATTGCTAATAATGATTTTCCAGAAGCTTCAACCATTTCATGGTTTTCTTCATCAAGTGGTGTTCGATTAGAGAGTGCAATAAACTCGTTGCCCAAAATGTTACACCTTTTCAAAAGATTATAATGTGAATATTCAACAAAATCTAACATGAATATTACTTTAAACATACCACCCATTTTTATCAAGTACGTCTTTCAAGTGCAAATCATCATACTGACGAACTCTTTCAGAAGCCTCGGTGCTTAACTTCTTATTAGTTTCTTCTTTGAATGTTAGTTTAGCATCTTCAATTTCTATAGTTAAGTCTTCTAAAAGTTGAGTAACTTTTAACTAGCATAAAAAAAAAATTAAATATACTTATATTTTTTCAAAATATAGATAGTTAATGATATTATCAATAGAATAAATTAAATAATTGTCACCTTAAGTTTAGTATTTAATTCGCTTGTAGGCCTTTTAAATACAGACAAGAAAGTTTGGATACCATTATTATCTATTAATTGTTTTTGTGCTAAGGGGAATCGTCTAGTAATTGATGATAAAGCAAAGATACAATTTTTTTGAACCTGAGGAAAAATAAAAATTAGAATTAGGAAAAGGATTATAACTAATCAAATTAAATTAAATAAATATTTATTTAAACAGTTAAATATAATATGTACTTACAAAAAACGTATATTCATCATCTATATATTTTAATAAAAGTGGTATAGCATGACTTTCTAAAGAGGCAATTTGAACTTTTTGATTATTAGAAGCAGCAGAACCAAGGAGCAGTGCTCCCTGTGCTTTCATAAAACTTGAGTTACTATTAATGCAAGGAATTATAATTAATTGAATCCTGAAAAAAAATAGATTATAATGAATTAATTTTTATACTAATAATTCAATTAAAAAAGTAATATAGTGATTAATATCATGCTGGATTTACCAAAATTCACTAAGCACTAAAATAAGGTAACACATGTCATTTACCCTTTGTTTTTTACAAAAACTTCTGCTGTATCAACTTGATGTAAGAGATATTCAAGATCAGTTAAAATATTCTGAAGATTTTTATCACTATCTTCATATAATTTTAGTTGTTCTTGAAATTTCTTAGAAAGTTCACCCATGATATCCATATCACTTTTTATAGTCATATTTAAATCTTTAAGATCATCTTTAAGCTCTTCATATGATCTAAATTTATGTGAATTGCCTGGCAGACTATTCGTATCTTTCTGTTAATACATTTGGCAACATTTTAATTTGTAACTTGTAAAATATAATTTATTTTTAGTACAACACATAAATTACTTACAACATTATCTGCGTTATTGGAGTTTGTAATGGCCAAACTATTAGTATTGTTATTTTTATTGTCCTCCATTAATTTTACTTTTTTCTCACCAGTCTGAAGATCAATTTGTACATGAAGTCCAGGAGGAATAAGTTGATCTATAGAAAAATATAAATATTGTTACTAATTTACATATTTAAGATGAACTATATAATGTGGCAACATTTTGACTGGTAAAATAAATACATTAGCATATGATTACCTATAAAAAATAAGTCAAGTGCTCAGATTGAAAACAAAGATAATGTACTCAATATAATATTTAACTAGGGTTTCCATGATTCTAGTGCACAAGAGGAACAAAGATATATATAATCAGAAAACATAATACAGAACGGTTTTTTAACATGAATATAATTTGCAGATATTTGTTGAGGTAGAGGGAGACAACTAGAGAAAGTTCTAATCTAATCCTATATTACCAAACACCTTTCAGGAATATTAAAATATGGAATTAGAATAAATTCATAGGACTATAGTTGCTAAATAATACAATATTTAATTATATACCGCCATCGATTATCTGCCATTCGTTAGTCGGAACAAATTCTTTGGGCTTATTGAAAGTCGTGACATTTTTTGAGGATTCTGGCACTGTTTCAACAACTGTTTCTTCGGGCTGAGGCAATACTCGGTCCCAGTGATAAAACACTGAGTCTAGAAACCAAAAGGCGCCCAGCGACGCAGCTACAAGAATCACCAAGAATAATTTGACTAAGGACATTTGAAACATTTTTATTTCGTTGATTTCGAGTGTACTGAACGTGCCGTAAATGAGTAATTGTAAGTATGAATCTAACAAAAGCAGACGTGTTATGCGAAGGTCGATTTTATGGGTTCAACTAAATTAATATTTACGAGCTGTATAAATATTGAAACAAAATCGCCGAAATATCATCACACATCAGTAGCAAGGTGTTGTCATTAAAAAGTATAATATGGTAAATAATTGGGTGTTGTGGTGTGTGTACTGTTGTCGTTCTTGTTTGTTATTATTAATTTTTTAGTTTTTAGTTTTTTACTTGTTCGCGTAAACCAAAATCCCAACGTGTGCAGATAACGCGGCAATTACAGTATCCAATGAGAAACGAACAGATAAGGCGAATCCGAAATACGACGGGGTTACCATACGTTCAGTCTGAAATGTTTTTTTCTCCCTTAGCTTTGGCCCCCCTGACCCGGCGTAGCGTCCGTAGGTAGCGCCACGGATGGTCGGGCGGAATGGACAGACAACGGATTTTGTTTACCGGCAACGACGACGGCGACGGCGACGACGACGAAAACCGCTGTCGGCCATTACTGTTGCAGTTGTCGTACCGTACACACCGTGCGCAATTGTCAATTTTAATAGTACACTTTTTTTACCAACAACGCGTTTTTACTGTAAACGCGTCGCAAACTTACGTTTAAAACATTTTCACGTCGATAAACAGTCGAAACGTCAGAATGACTGAAGACTACTTTTGGGGTGAGTATGATGGCCGCGCTAAAACTTTTTGCACGACGTGTGTCGTCGATGTATGAATATGGTCGCGCACTTCACACGTTGCCGATTTTTTCTTCGCTTTACCTTCCTTCCCCCCGTCTACACCGATAACGATTTTATGCGTTTCGCGTGGTTAACACGTTTCCGTCAAATTTCTTTGACAACCGTCTACGGCACGCATATTTTTATCCCTTCGAGTGGCCCCCGGCAAACCGTAGCCTAAAAGTCACATGGTCCGCGCATCCCGCTCTTTGTGTGCGACAATATTTTCCCGGGGAAAAAAATAATTCGTTATTGTTCTTGCTGTCGGCGTTACAAACCGTACACCGTATATTTTATGTCGACTTGTTTATTTTATTTGGTTTTCATTGCCTCGTGCTCGACCGTTTTAATCTATTTCGGTTTTTCGCCGTTGACCGGGACGCATGTTGTCAAATGAATTGGTCGACGATTGGGCGCGTGCCCGCTAAATTTGTACCTCTCTTTCGTCGTAAAGGTGTATACCTAGCGCGGTCACTTCAGTTTTTTCTTGCACGTCCTCGTGTGCCGCCGCATCACGTTTGATGTAATATGAGAGGGCATGACAACCGCTTCAAGGCAAGAAGGCGACCTCCAAAATTCTATGTCCTATCCCGCACACCCGATCTTCCGGTTTTTAATTTTGGCTACTCGATATGGTTGTTCAATATTACCATACATAACGACAACTTAATAATTTTGCGCGACCCGTCAGTACTGTATTAATTAATGATGTTATTGTACCGATTGTCCGTTAATTTAAACAATGTTTGGGGATTGCTCTATAGTGCATCCTTGTGTAAACATCAATAATATATTTATACAAACAATTTTTAGGAGTTACTTTGGATAAGACTAAGGTTACCGAAGTGTGGGATCCTGATGTAAAACCAGATGCCAATGACAGTTCTCACGTTTTCCGTGGAGAACATACTTTGCTTGTCAAACAGGTTAGTTCAAAAAAAATTTTCCTTGCTAGATTATTTTTACAAATCATAATTTTTTGCAGGCTGTTCTTGGACCAGAAGTACCAGATGATGAAGTTAATGTCATCGAAGTAGAAGCAATGGGTTACAAATCTGATATTAAGTTCCCTGTTGTTGTATTGAAAGGAGGTACTGGTCATAGTCAATGTGTACTTGATCTTTTGTTCCCAGATCCTCCAGTCACATTTAAACTTGTAAAAGGAAATGGTCCTATCCATCTATTGGGAAATCATTCAGTTGGTAGTAAGTATTAATAAACGATGATAAATTTTTTTTTTGCGATGATGAATTTTTTTTGGGTAATTTGCGTCTGATTACGAATCTGATGAACCTTTAATAGTTTCTGAGCTAAATTGTAAATATTTTTAATTAATATATATGATACAAAAATAAATACAAAAAATTTACTTGGAGTAGCTGGTGAAGGAATGGCCGATGAAGAAGATGATGATGAAATCGATGAAGAATTTGAAGAGGAAGAAGAAGAAATTGAGGATGAAAAAAATAGTGTATGTAGAATTAATAATGATTTTTAAATGTTGGTTTGTATTATTTATTATTTGAAATTTATTGTTATAGGTAGATGAAAAGAAACGTAAAATAGCAGCAAATTCAAATTCAAAGGGTGGTAAAGCAGCCAAGAGGCCTAAAATTGATAACGAAGTAGGTAATGATGGTATCTTATGTTACATTAAATAATAATTTAATTTATATTTGTTTCCCCATTTTTATTACATTTTTGGTACAACTATTAGAAATATGTGGTTTTTAAATTATTAATTAAAAAAATAATCTATCTCATTTTAGCTTGAACCAGCTAGACTTGTTCTTGATTCGTGTTACGAAAAGGACTATTTATATGGGGAGAAGGTTAACTTAAAGGATATGAATTAGCATTTAAACTGCTTCAAATATGCCTACAGCTTTTTTTTTTCGAGTAGCCTTGATAAGCATAAAAAGTATTCCAGCTTCAAAATTATGTTTTCCAACCATCTGGATAACCCCTCCTTTGGATCTAATTACCAAATACTTGTTCATGAGTGTCACTTTTGTCAGTGCTCCAGTTTTCAACTCTTCATACTCTAAATACGATTTATGTATTTTAAATTTGATGCCAAGTCAATGCACTGATACTAAGGCTTGTTAGTGGGTTAAGAATAGACTGTAAATAGTCTGCTGGTGTCTTAAATATTTTTTCCCAATAACAAAACCTGATAATAATTTTAAAATATGTTAAGTATACTAATACACTTTTTTTGTTTCAGATTAATTAAACTGAACATCAGGCTTAATGTTCCTGGATGTGTAAATTCCAAATGAAACAAGAGACACTGTCCTCTGGTGTTAATTTATTTAACAATTAAGGTTTTTTAATTTCAAATTGTTTTTTTAGTCTGACCTCTGTATGTAATAGTTAGGACATTTTAACTTAAAATAAGGCTATCCTATCTGTTATCCGCATATAGAAATCCAGAATATTGAAATTACTAAAATTATATATTCATAATGTCTGATGTATTTTTTTTATTATTATTTAAGCCCTCCACTCTACAATATAAATACAATGTCTTGTTTTAAACTTTCAAATTCAAATTTTTTTACACATTAATTTGTTTATTTTTTAAAATAAAATTACATATCCTACAACTGGTTTAATGCGTAACATGTAATATATGGTGAATCATATGCCGTGGTACAAAATTTAGATCCATTTCTGGTGATGAATTGGCATCCCACAAACATAGTATCTTCCTTCATGTAGCAATAAACTAATGTAACCGTCTTAAATGGTTAAATGTAACATTATTTGCAAGATATGTTGGTATTTTATGTTAATTGTGTTTACTGTAGTGCTGATTTTCCAAACTCTAATCCATGAGTCTTCAGATACACTCAATAATAAATCTACATCTCTTGCTGCTGACATTGATGTAACACATCTAGCATGTGCAGACATTTGGACCATCATTGGTAGCTGATCTTCTGCATCTTCGTTTACAAGTTTGACAGTTGGATCAAACATACGAATTGTTCCACATCCGTAACCTACGGCCATTAATCCAATTCTGGTCATTTCTGTTGTAGTGCATGGATGTCTAAAATACATAGACTGTACTATAAGTTATATGTGGTATTTAAATGCCGTTAATCATAATTTTTCAATACTTAAGGTAAAGTGAAATATAAAAGTGGCAAACAGTGCTCAGTGCTTTTATGTTCTTTGATGTAAACCAACCCCCCAAAAACTTTTGATCGAGCAATGATCATCAGTTCTCCGCAATCAATTTGTGAAAGTACTGTACAACCGGACTCATCACAAGACACTAAATTGTGTTTGTAAGACGACATATCTGTGATTGGAGCTCCGTGAAACAATTTTCTGTCTAAAAACACCACTTGTCCATCTTCATCTGGTCCGAATACCCTAATTGACCCATTACTATTACCTGTGCATGTATATAAGTGTTATTAGTCTTATAAAAATGAAAACTAAGTTCGCATACCGACACACAGGTAAGTGCACTCAAATGCAGCTATCCCTTTTGCATATTTCTCCTTCATATTTTTATCTTCGCAGTTGTGCGTGTATATGCGTTTGAACTGTTGGTCACAATCGTAAATAATCAGACCTTCTGAACAAGTGACTACTAAGCAATTTATGTAACCGAGCGTGCACCAGAGTATCTAAATATAGACAAATAACCGTTGGTTCCAAAATTGAAGCATAACAATTTATAGAAATATTTAAAACAAGTAAATAATAAATTATCAAAGGTTAAGAAAGTCGAATAATTTTGTTTTCGGTCAACAGGTCGTATGCTTGTATCGGCTAGGTCTAGAGAGGATTAATTGAATGATGTAATTTCTAATGGAATCGTACTCACAATGGAAAATAGGTTATTGAGTTGTAAAATTAAAATGTCCCCAAATCCGTTATTTGAAAAATACTACATTTGTTATCTATGGAAGAATAATAATTTTACTTGGGTGACATTGGTCTTCGTGTCGAGACAAAACTGTGGAACATCAGCTGCATTATCCACGGAATTTTCTGTACCCACCACGTGAATTGTTTGCCGGTCGATGATGGCAAAACCGTGTAACGATTTTTGATACTTGGAGACGTTCACGGCAACGTTGTTCGTGACCGCCGACACGGTGCCTTTGACGAAAATTTGTTTTTCCTTTGCGTATAACATCTGTCGTCCGTGGGTGCCGGGTAATACCATGTGCATTTGTGACCTATATTTATGGTTATAACGAGTTATTTAGTCAACAAGGACGGATTTTATAGCTATTTGATCACAATAATACATTTTAAAGTAAGTGGTGCAGTTAGTAGAGCTATACAGTTTACTACGATATTAGCTGTGCAAGGGACATAAGCAGACAAAGGGTTCATTGTAGATATTCACTGTTAAATAATCTTACGATCGATTCGATAATCGCTGGTCCTGGGGATACACTTTGTTATTAATATTTTTATATTTGTATGTAGTCCGGAAGTCGTAAACTCGTACGAGACTATTGATTTGTCATTCGGTATCATTCACGTCGTGGTAGACATTATTTATTTATTAATGAGATTTTACTCATTTTAATTTTTAGGCGCTCTGCAAGCGCCGGCGCCGCACAGACGGGTAGCAAAATACATAATATATCATTAGTACGAACACGGATATATATTCATAATTCATATTAAATTATTATCATAAATCATTACACTGCTTTAGTTAGCCTTACTTTAGTACGTCTTTTGTAACAATATTTTGTCGTTCGCGCGCAGTTCGACCGAGACTTTCGATATTATCACGCGCGGTAACACTGCGCGCTATTTCTTTTACAGAGACCTCCTTGACTTGAATGCCGAACTGTGATTTCGATAATACCGAATTCGGTCTTCGTGAGTTTCATTGTTGATCACAACACGTTTTTTCGTACATAACCTCGAGGCCCGTCCCGCAGTTTGTTGTTCGACCTGCAACTTTTTTTTAAACGCATCAAAGTCCAGTAAGTAGCTAAATACAAGTGAAATGGGTGGCACATTTACCTCTTGTTTACGTTAACAATCTATTCGGTGAACAGACTTGCAAGGGCTCTAACTTTTGTGTTTCATTGCAGGAAACATGCCTGAATTAACGGAAATCGATGCGACGAAAAAGGTAAGCTTCGAGGAGCCCAAGAAGGACGCTGCAGACAGTGACAGCGATTCGAGTGGCGTAGATGTTGCTACCGGCAAAGGTGGTGAGGGAGCTAGCGGTGTCACCGCTGAAGACTTGTCCAACAAGGCCAGACAGTCGAGAGGCGAGAAGAAAGCCAGGAAAATCATATCCAAACTTGGTCTCAAGCAGGTGTGTTGTAGAAAATTATTGTTTGATTTAAATGCTCGCTGTTCGTCATTCCACAAATTGTTATTGGTTTTAGATTCACGGAGTCAATCGAGTGACTATTCGCAAGTCCAAAAATATTTTGTTCGTCATTAACAATCCCGATGTATTCAAGAACCCAGCATCCGACACTTACATTGTGTTTGGTGAGGCTAAGATCGAAGATTTGAGCCAGCAAGCCCAAGTTGCAGCTGCTGAGAAATTCAAGTCTGCAGATATGATGCCAAGTGTATTGGACAAAGATGGTGCATCCAGGCCAATGGTCAGCCAGCCTATCCATGAAGAAGAAGAAGAAGAAGGCGAGATTGATTACAAGGGAGTAGAAGAAAAGGATGTGGACCTAGTTTGTGCGCAAGCACAAGTAACCAAACGCAAGGCTATTGAAGCGTTACTTAAAAACAACAACGACATTGTCAATGCTATTATGGACTTGACAATGTAAAACTTAGATATATATATAACGTTTTAAGGGAGAGAATTATCATTGTTTATACTTTTAGACTGATAATGAAATCCAATAATAAATAAGCACATTTACTACATGACCTTCTGTAAAATTGATTATTTCCTTCACGTTATTTGTATATATACTATTTTTTGGTTCAATACAAAACTTTCTCTGGCTACGATATTGAGTTACTTCTTTTACAGTCACCTTAAAAATATGCATTGATTTATTTTATCTCTTATTTCAGCTATATATTAATGTTTCTTTAACTTAAGTACATAATATATAAACAAATTTTTGGTGTTTGTTGAATTTCTTTAGAATAACGAATAACATTTAAATAATATTGTGCGTTGTTTAATAGACAGTCTTTCAATAATTTTGGTTTTAAGTTACACTAATAAAAATGTTACAAATAATATTAATAAAATTAAATGTTTACTTCATCTTGTTTGAATTTATTGCCTAATACACAGCTATGAAGCAACAAAATTACAAATCAGTCAATGGTCACAAACCCCAACGCTTTACTTAATAAAAAAAAGTTACAAGTATCTGAGCAAAAAAAAGAAAAGCATTCATAAAATTTGATTTAATGAAATATATTATGCAAGTACATTAAATTATTATAAAGCATCAAAGGTTATAAATGCAATACTTCCATGACCCTTCTGTTAAAATATGATTTTAACCAACTTGTATTAGTATTGTATACAAATTAATTATAAGGATGTCTATGGCCAGGCACACAACCAAGGTAGAAAACTCCATATGACGTGCTGTCCATACTCTTAACTCATGTGGCTGGTCACGACGCATAATCATCACTTCCCTGTTTTTAACAATATTTAAGTTGAATGGACACCAAAATACAGTTAATTTTGAACTTGTTATTATAAATGTAAAGATGTTGATTTAAACTTAAATTTAATAATTGTAGTGTCAGTTCAATTGAGATCCATTGAATAGTGTTGTAATACATTAATTTGAGTAGGCTAATTTATTATATTGTATAGGCTATTGCTTTTTGTAATTGTGTTTGCATTTACTTTTAATTTAAAAGAAATCATAATATAATAATCTTGATAAACTGAAATGAATTGACGATGTAATAATAGTCTTTATAATAATATATTATATTGTGAACATGGCACGTAAATAAATATTAATAGTAATAACAAGTTATTTTACAATTATCGCTTGAAGGCTAGATTCAATTTCTAAGTTCTGTCAAGGTAACTTAAAGGTTTGTACATTTTTAATTAGTTTGCTAATTAAGTAAGAACATAAAAGTTTTTGACAGTACCTTCAATAGTTATATTAGGCTATTATAGTATTATTGAAGTGTTCCATTTTATTATTTAATGTGTTCAAAACACAAAATATTTTATGAATTCACAATTTACCTTATACATAATATAATTTTAATTGAATTATTTTGTATGAAAATACACATAAATAATTATTCATAAAGGCCTGATGTAGGTTAAATTTTCTGCTTCAATTCAATTGTATCTACATAATTCCATAAATATTTGTTAGTTAGGTTTCACAGTCAAAAGTAGAACAACATATTTTAGTTGATTGTAAATTGTAAATTTATATTTTAATGGAATTAAATATTTTTGAGTGTTATATACATTTAATAACTTTAAAAATGTATGACCTATAACAAGTGGTACTAAATATGCACATATTTATTTTTATAACAGTATAACCATTTTTAATAACATCATTAAACATAATATTTAACATTCCCAATAGCGTTTATAATTGCATAATGCATTTATTATGTAAATAGTAATTATTGAATTGAGATTTTGATGTAAATATATCAAATATACAAGTTATTTTTCAAACATATTTTCAAAAGCTAATATTATTTTCTTGCATTAAATGTATGATAATTATATTTTTATAAGTACAATAGATGCATCATATAATTAAAGCCATATACTCTGTGTCCTGTTTTTTTTCTTTTATACAAAATAAACTAGGATATCAAATAACATGACTAATGACAAAACAAGTAATAGTTTAATAGTTTTTTTTTTTTAACAAAATGTACGATAATGAAAATACAAAAAAAAATGGACGTTTTAAAAAAAAATATTAATAAACTAAAATTAACATTACAAACTAATGATATATAATATAATAAAAAGATAATAATAATAATAAAAATAAAAATAATAATTTTTATAATCTAGACATTATAATATAATTATATATAACTGTATTAAATAATATAATAATTAGCACTTAACAGTGATATTTGGAGAAATCTACCGTCCGTTTAGATATATATATATAAATATACATACAAAAACATAAAATAGTTAACACTATATATAAAGAAAAACCACTCACAATTGAGTAAGCCAATCTAAAATCACAGAAAATATTTATTATAAATAATACGCTTCTTTTTATCAGAACACATAATAATTAATAATATATAATTTATATAAATAAATAATTCTTATAAAATTTATCGTACCGCAGTATTATTACAATATATTAAAATGAGAAAATGGGCTTTACCGAATACGCGTGTCGTCGTCGTGTCATGCCGGACACCCGCTGGACGAACGATTTTGAATTTGGACCCGCTCCGGATTACTTCCCATAATATATATTATCATAATTATGTAGGCAATGTGCAAATTAATGTTGAAGATCGAAAAAAAAAACCACCCGAAAAGAATAATGAAAACCGGCCGAGAAACTTCACGTCAAGTCCATAGGTATGTACCTACATAATATTTTAGAACAGATAGAATACATTGCGACAAATTACTGTTGGGAAATGGAAAATTGGGAAACGACTGATACACTAAGGACGGAGTTGGATCGAATGCGAACGATGGAAGTAGAAACAGCCGGGCTGTGGTCGGTAGCCGCTGTCGGAATATTTCTTCAAATTGTTCGTGACTGTAACGAGGAATTTAATTTTCGAGAGATTAAGTGATTTAAGGGCCGGTGAAGTGTGTCACGAAATGGATGAGAGGAGGGAGGCGCGACGTTTTCGAACGGTCCGTACATATAGGTACTGCAAAGAAATACTGTCTAATGTCTATCGAACAACAAGTAACAACTATGATCATAATACTATTTAGCATTTACAGGTGTTTCAGACTGTAACTTACAGTTATACACAATAATAATAAATATATTAAATAAGTATAATATCGTACAAATTTTAAAGGTATTCGTAAATATTTTATCAATATAATAATCACAATGACGACATGCGTAATATTATATATTCTACCTACGAGGCATAGTACACTCAAAACGTCTCTCAAGAGCTATGGCATAATAATATATTACTATATAGGAATTAGGAATGTGCAACTCGAGGAAAGAACTATTGCACACTGAACGAGTGAGTATACATGGCGATGGCAGACATTGGCAGGCAAGCTAAAAAATAAACGATAAATCATAGGTGACTGGTGAGGGGGGGCATAAGTCAATCTAGAAGAACTCCCATAAACACATCGTAACGTATGGCGTGTTCATCAATTGGTGATTAAGACGCAGATTTGAGATTTTTGTGTGCTATGGAAGTCTACGGATCAAGATGAGATTCAAAGTATCGTGCCTAAATGCATTGGTGCAACTAAAATCCTGGGGGGAGCCCCCCCTAGTGACGCCACTGCCTATACGAGATTACAAAGAAATGGGCCGTGCGCGGCGTCTTAACAATAAAAATGTAACGAACACTCGCCAGCACAGAGGTAAAAATATTTAAAAGAGAAACAGGCCTAGAGTGGTAGAGTGGTATTATGTATAATACTATTATATTCGATCGTACCTATGTTCTGTCGTTCATAAACCAATCTGACGGCCTTAAGAATATCAGATTGATTCTGAAACCTACGGATAGTTTAGTAGTGCTGGTAGTAGTAGTAGTATAGCAGTAGTAGTAGTAGTAGTAGTAGTAGTAGTAGTATTACATTAATTGTATATAATATTAAATATAGTAGTAAAGTATTACATAAATGCACCGTATAAACGTATATTATAATAATATATACGATCTCATCAGTCTTATCGGGTTCGACTATACACACAGTGTAAATATATATACATACACACACATAAATAAATATATGTGTGTATATATATATATATATTAAGGTGTAGGTATTTTTTTATACGATTATAATATTGTTATAAATGTTACGCTGCAGAGCGAAGAAATCCCGCCGACGAAGCCGGTGAAGAGAAGAGAGATTGTGAGTGTCGTTATCTTAAATTCGCGCTTCGCTCGGATGCTGACTGGCTTTCAAGCCCCTGCCGGTCCAGCGGACGTCTTCTTTGCCCGGTAGCGGAGAACTGCTGTTGTCGATCCCGTTGGTCTTGGAATGTTGAACGTTGCCGACCACCACCAGAGCAGACGCTATCGCCAGGCCTGAGTCGAACAACAAAAATACGCAACAGAGGTGTTAATGATTTGAGTAGTACCTATTTTAAGTGCGCACATTTTTTAACTCGTTTGAAATAAAACGGCATTATAAGACTTCCCCCCCCCCCCATGGATTTTAGCGTGTTGGACTACGCTTCCCCTCTGGACTGAGACATTTCTCCCCGGATCTATACATATATATTTTTACACATTTAAGTAACAAATACAGGTTGGTATATAATTTCTTTGATCATACCCGAAACATATGATCATATACCTATCGATGTATCAGCAGCTATCATTCGCGTTATGGATTTATTACCCAATTTAGGTAATGATTGATAAATCAAAGTTATGTGCAAGTTGTAGACTTGTAGTTGAATTATATTTATACATTAATTTAATCATTTGTATATTTATTGATTTGCATTGATATTACTGTTTAACTTTTGGTCTGGGAGGAATTTGTCCCGGTCCCGGGAGACGCCCAACGAATCGGGAATCGGGGAAAGGCGTACGGGTGAAACGTCCTAGATTCTAGAAAAACGAACAACTTATTATTATATGTATATTGGCTGCTGCAGTGGTGGGACTGGAAGATAAAATATGATATTATCCCTTAAATTGTGCTCCTCGTGGCTAATGTAGACTTATAGATACGAGTTGGGAATGTTGAGGGATTTGTCGCGTGGGGAACCGGTTTCAGAAATTACAAAGATTTTTAGACTTTAAAGCCTGATTCCCAGGTCTGTGGCTCGGTAGTCTATATAAAAACGCGCTGGCTGTTGTCAGGCTCATCAGTTTCGTCAATTTATAATACATTTTGTACTACACGGTTCAGCGAGTTTCTGAAGTTATTATTTCAATTTACTGAAAATAAAATACAGGGACGATCCAAGCCGAGCAGTTCTGACTATACAGACTTTATAGTCTAAATGCTAGGTAAAGTCCCGACTCCCAAGCCACGAGCTGTGGAAAACCAGCTTCTGTTAAGATTTAAGAACAACCATCGGTAGGCATTATTTTACACTTTTCTACGATGATCACTGATCAGTATTATGTGTTAGGATATGATAAGTTTAAATTTCTCGTATTTTACATTTTCTTATATATTGCATGGATTGCGGTAAATGAACCACTCCTCTGAAATGAGTAAAATCTGAATAGGTTATGGGCATTTAATATGAATGACTTACCCGAGTATCCGTGTGGTGTGAATCTATCGTTGCCTGTCGGCTGTCTGACGAGCAACGTCAATACGGCTGCTCGATTGCCGGCGCAAGGTTCCAAGGCCACTGGATTTGGTACGTCCTGCAACAAGTATAATCAAGTGTATTTGTTAAGCACATAATATTATTGTCATAGATATTACTATATAATAATTATTATTATTATCACTTACGATTTTGCGTTTTCTCAAATTGCTCGAAACAGAAATGGTCGGTATCTGGTTACCAAGAATGGAATTGCGTTTTTCTATTTCCACCTCAACCACCGAAAACGGTCTGCTGGCCATCTGTTCCATTTCCACGAACATTCTCTACACGTATAAAGAACAAAATATGATACCATTTTAATTGTCATTTGTCGTACATTTGTTATACAGACTCAACTACTAATATCGCAATGTCAAAACGTGTTGGCTATTTTATAGATTCAAACGGATTACCAGTAAATTAATCACCCACATTTTTAAGATTTCTCTTTTCAAGCAGGCAAGCAACAGATTATAGCTATACTTTTATTTTTTTACTTTTAAAACATATTTACAATCTGTGCCATAACGTACAGCAAGAATATGTGATAAAGGATTAAATTTACAAGAATATTTACACGAAGATGTGAGGGAAGGGCCGCCACCCAGTGATAGCACTTTCATCTGTCTATTTATTTATTTTATTTATTAAGAAAAAATCTATACCAGTTTCTTTTTAGTCGTCATTGGATTCCCATACATTTCCATGAGTAGCTGGATTTGATATAAATTTTAAGGGCCAATGGTGTTGGGATGGAAACTGGGAAGGGAGTCTATTATAAAATTGTTTATAGGTAGAATTTTATATTGCTTCTGCATTAATAGTTTTAATTTTAGGATTTGTGTGTAAAGTAAAATTGAAAATGTATAGTGGAGAATGGTGATAGTGGGTAGGATTCTCTTCTGAGAAGTTTGAATTTAATTGAGATTACATTTTTTTGCAATGCCCCAAAGTTGGAGACAATATATGCAATTATTTATTATTCACATAAAAATGACGAAACCTACCTGTCTTCTGCGATACATGTCATATTTCTGTTTGAGTTTCCACAATATGGCAGCCACCAACAGCAATAGCAAGAAACATCTGCAATGTATAACAAAAATCCAAGATAATGACAAAGATATTAATACAAACAGAACCCACTACGGTCAAATAATACATACGAAGAGAATGTGATGAAAAACTGTTGGAGATTTAATTTTGGATACTGAGAAAACGATATCTGTATCCAGAGCGGAGGTTTGAAATCATAAACGTAAACATAAAATGTTGTCAGTGACATGTTGTCTCCAGTGCCAAACATGTATTCAGATTTCAAAAACTTAGTTCTGAAATTTGTGCAGTTTTGTAACGGAAGTAGCATTTTTTCTGGCCCGGACGCTATAAATGTGAAATACAAAATAAAATTTACAAGTTGATTAATTTTTATACTGTAATAATTTTTCTTAAAAGAGGTTTACGTTGAAACTAAAATGTAAAATTTGTCAGCATACAAAAAACTTGTCAAAGTTGTACCCATATTTATTATGGAATAAACATACACTATGAGAGAAAATAAGATAGAGCTGTTCATTGTTAACATATTGAATTGTAAAAATTTTAGGCCACAGACCAATTAATTGTTGATGCTGATGCCAATGAATACACTGTGCTATTTTATTTTAAAAATTTAAACACATATATTTTTTATTTTTTAATTAAACGCACCAGGTCTGACGGTGATGTTCATCTTGGCCATCACCGAACAGGTGATGCTAAAGTCGGCGTCAACATCAGACTTTGAAGGCGAATTTTGAAAATTGATTTGTGTAAACCTCAGATCATCTTTTTTAGACAGGTTAAACGTGAATTGATAATCAATGGTCAGATCATCTAAAAAAAATTAAACATGCTTATATAATATATATACATTATACTAATATTTGTTCATATCCTAAACAAAATTTAACATTTTACTTACAGAAACAGGAACCGTGATTAGATGGGTCTCCCAGATAATGGTTATTTGTGTCACATTTCTCACAGTTATCTCCGATTATCCCTTTTGTAGTACAATAGCATTTTCCATTCTCTTGATTACAATGATTACCTTGATTGTTACACCGGCATTCTAAAAATTAATTTCATGAGTATAATTTAATTATTTTTACTACCCACTGGCCTCTATGTTCAAAAGTAATACACATAATAATGAATAATCAAAAAAACAAAACGATTACCTTTACATTCACCACCATTGACTGGGTTCCCATAGAATCCTTTAATACACGTCTCACAGTTTTGGCCTTCTGTGTTATTTGAACATGGGTGTATACACACGTCAGTATTATTCATACAAGTGCTGTGGCCATTGCACTGGCAAGCTGTGTAATTAGTTAACAAGTTTGCATTAGTATGTATGAAACCATAAAATAAAAAAGTAGTTCAATGAGTCCCACTTATTCTAATTTTAATGATGTCCATTTAAAGCCTTAGAAATAATTAAACAATACTGTAAAAAAAAACTATATTATAAATTTGAGTATTGTTAAGATTCCCATTGTTTTTAAAAATATTTTTATTTTTTATTTTTTACTAGATATTTACAATCTATTCATAGAATAATAAGCAAATTAGATAAGAGTAAAAAAAACACATGAGTAATATGACGGAAGAAGCCACCCATTGATGACACTAACTATTTTGTTTAGTTTATTAGGAGAAATTTGATCTAGGAATCAAGCATTTAGCAGGTCACGGCACCAATTACGTTTGAGACGTCTGAAGGGGTTACCCGGCATCGAAGGGACTGCTAGATTTTTTATAAGAGGGTTAGGATGATTCAGTAACCTACTGTGAAACCGCTTATGGTAGAGTTTTGCTTCATGTTTTTAAAAAATGAAATATATTTCTGAACCTGTGCATGTATTTTGCAATAGCACATATCTGACACTGTAAATGCTATGAACAATTACATTTATATTTTTTCATTGGTCTTGTTTAAGTATTTAATTACATATGCAACCATACCACAATAGGCAAAATCATTTGGATCTCTTATTTTAATCAATACCTATTAATGATACATTTTGTATACTAACTTGGGCAGTGAGTGAAGTACCATTTATTTTGAGAACATGATTGGGGTGGTGTATTGCCACCCGCCATGCACGAACCTAAACCAGTACCCGAACCGTCATCACACCAACCACACTCTGGATCATCTCGACAATCAATACAAGTCCTATAGTAATTGCACTGTGAATTCCCTGAAAACAATTGCTGATTTAAAATAAAAACAGAAGCTCTATATGAACTAAAATGTATAATACAAAATTTGTTTAAGTAACAATTTTTAAAACAAATTAATATTTTTAATTAACATTTCAAAAGTTACAATTTCAAGTTAAAAATTATAAATATTAATTAAATAAAATACCAAATATTAAACCTACAATTATATTAGTAAATGTTCTCAGTACTCATCAGTTATTAGCATTAGCAATAACTCACCTGGTGAAGTTCTACAACGGTGCTCATCTGTTGTCCATTCTCTACATTGACCGTACGGAAATGAAGATGTATACGCATTTTTGTCAATGCATCGTTCATTATTCTGACACCAAATGCATTCATCTTTTGTACAATTGGTACACTCAGTATAATGGTCGCAAACACTTTCACATACATCGGGTGACTGTTTTAAAGAATATGAAGTTTATAAAATTATATTTATAGAACAATGATAGACTTTGGATAATAAACTAACTGTAAAATCTTGAATCATGGATTTGTTTGTGATTGGCACACATATAGGAACTTCAATCTTGGAATTCCAATGACATCCAGTATGAGTAACACAATATTGACAAGAATGAAGATGGTTGCAACGCATATGGTCAGCATTTTCATTAGTACATTGATAACCTGATGTTATTGGCTATAAAAACAAAATCACCATATTATACATTAGACATTTAGATGTAGGCATGCCAGTTTAGAAGTATTATTTATTTCATATTTATACAAATATATAATAAATAATTCATGTCTTAGAATGCATACATTTAAAATATAAATAAATATTATTATCAAATCACCACTAGTGTTAGTAGTGTAACACAACATGATACACCAAGCATGCTCGCCCTATTTTATATTCAACAATGGATCAAATTCTTGAGATATTTTGTCCTATTTAAAGAATGTCTTGTGAACATACACACTTATATTTTTTAAATGAGAACTCCGATTTCTACACTAAATTGTTTAGAAAATCATTTTTCTGAAGCTTCAGTGAAAGATGAATGAAATTTTATCAGAATCAAAAATTGAATGAGTAGTTTTTGAGTTATTTTCCCTTGCATACTAAGAATGATAGGTTAATTCCAATAATTTTGGAAGATATGAGGTCAATGATGATTTAAACATTTTGGTAATTCCAAATATTCTTAATTTTTAAAAATCATCCCAAAATATACTAAATATTAGTCCAAAATTATATATTCTTAACATTTTTGTAATTCCATTTTTAAAGACTATTATCCGCTATTATCATTAATACAAGCATTTTAATAAATGAAAAACTATTTGTTTGAATTTTTGAAAGTCAAATTTTTTAGACAAGTTATTCTCAAAATAATTTACAATAAAAAAATGATTTCCATTTCAAAAATACAAGGTTATGTGATAAATTACACCCTTTTAGTAGTACAACACTTCTCAAGAATTTGAAAATAAAATCTTTAAATATATCTAAAAATTCTAAAAATAAAATTTCTATCAACTGCATTATTTAAGAAGCCAGAGTGCTTGATGAATTGTTCTGTATATAATTCATTATGTACTAAATTATAAAATTAAATTTTTTTCTGAAAAATGTTTTGTCCTCCCTCTCCCATTTCAGATTTCTAGATCCACGCATATTAAAATATAATTATAATATATGACATAGCTCTGTTATCAAGCTATAACACTTACACGTTCACTTCTATATGGTATATCATCTCTATTCATTGTAGTACATTGTTCTATATCATGTACACAGGAATTTGATAATGGGCACCAACCACAACGATGAGTATGAACGCATGATTCACATGTACTTTGCCGCTTGCACTGATCGATAATTCCTGTTACTTGGGACTTACTTTCTTCTGGACAACGGCTATAATTTTTTTAATTATAGATCAAAAATTGTAATATTTACATTGTTAAATGGTTAAGAAAGAACATATTGAAATAATTTGAGATGAAATTGACATTACCTGTAAGTTGATTCAAAATCTATACTGGGTGGAATAGCTGGGATTTCTGAAAATGGTAAACAAATGGCTTTTTCGTTATCCCAGACGCATTTAACACCAAAATGACGACTATTCAAACAATTAGTTATCATATTATTTGATGAACAATTTCCAGGAGAAAATCTAAATGAAAAAAATAAAAGTTGAATGTGCCATCAGTAAAAATACTAAAAATGTAATAATTTAGTTTTCCTTACTTGAGAATGTCATTGAGCATTTGGCCGTTGAAACCACCATAAATATACATAGATTTTTCAAATGTTATTGCAGAATGTCCAAATCGCATGAGACTGGTGAATAAATTTGAAGGCAATGCCATTTGTGTCCATGAATCACAATAAGTATCATAAAGTAATGGTTGTGCAGTATAACACTGACCGCCAGATGAAACCAAATTTACTCCAGTATCATTATGTATGTTTCCACCATATATCAACATTAAACCTCCAGTAGGATTCAACATAGAACCACTGTGTAAAAATCTACCACTAGGACCGTCACTCATTAAATACCTGTAAATAAAAACAAAATATACATTATGATTATTTTTTTATTTATTTTTTTGTGATCACTGTTTTTGGGATGCCTAATTGCTTCAAAAACTTGCAAGAACCCTATCTAGCTACTAGTGTCTACTAATTATGTCTTAACAGAGAACTTAATAGTATTTATCATTTTTGAGATGTATTTTTTAATTAATCTCTGTATTAGTTTCTTTAGTATAATGAAAATTAAAATAAGTATTAAAGAAAAGAAGTATAATTGATTATCAATAATATTAATTACCATGTATGTGAGTAAGGATCATATGCATAAAGTTTTGAAGATAAAGCCGATTGCAGAGGACTCATTGACACATAGCCACCATATACAAGAATACGTTCTGTCACAGGATCCCAAGCAGCACTGTGCCCGTATCCACCTTTAACTGGATAACCTTTAGTCTTTACAACTGCCCATTCTCTAGTGCCTATAAAAAATATTATTATTGATTTTTTTGTCAAACAAATCAACATGTAAAATAATTTTATCATTATTAAATAATTATATTTATTTATAACTTACCAAAATAATATTCTTGAACAAAATTCATAAAACCATAAGTAGGAGAATGTCCAAAAATAATAATCATTCGTTCTGTTACATATCTAGAACCAGATCCAGAAGAAGTAGATTGTGATATATATGAAGGTGGCACCAATGTGGCTGTGTGTCCAGCACTACGTAATGGTCCACATAATGCTTGATTTGTGAAGCCAATGTTCATAAGGTTACGTTCACATGAACCAGTATTAACTGTGACATTTTCCCAGGACTTGGCACTTATGTCATAAGCCCACAATTCATTACACACAATACCATCTTCTTTTACTCCTCCATAAACATAAATCTTGTCCTACAAACAATTGTAATTTTACGTAATATTTAACACTAATAAAAAAAAACTATAATATTATTTAGATAATAAATATACATACACCAAATAGCACAGACGAATGTCCATATCGTATGGTTGGTGCTGTTTTGCTTATTACATGAGGTGTTTCCCATACATGACCTAACATAAAATAAAGTTAAAAAAATAAATATTTAATTTTATCATTTAATGTAGATAGGTCATTTAATAAATTACCATTGAAATCATAAACATATAACATATGTCCTTTTTTAAAAGATTCTCCCCCAACAATATACATAGAGTCTTGCCATACGACAGCTGTATGAGATGCAGATCCTTGCGGAACAAAATCACTTGTCTTCAATAATTCCCAGTAACCGTGTTCAGCTACTTGACTACAGTCATCACCTATAAAAAAAAAACACAATTAGCATTATAGAATAAAAAAACAACCCTAAATAATTAATTTACCTTTATATTTTGGATTGCAGACACAGCGATGTTGTTCCTTATCACATACCCCATTGCTGGCCGTGCACTGATTTGGACAAATCGGAATGTGACAAGCTTCACCAATAAATTGGGCATCACAAGTACATACAGAGTCTAGACAAACACCATGTCCTGAACATTCTTTAGAGGAAGTTGTACTTGGGCATGTATTTAAACTGAAACATTTTATACATTAGTTTTTGGTCTTTGAAGTCTTTAATATATTAATTTTAATACATAAACTTCAAAAGAGAATTTAATTTAAACATTTTTTCATAATATAATATTGTAATTATTCTTTGTAGCATGCAAGAATTTTAAAGCAAATTTAACATACCTGTAAGAAATATTAAAACCAGATAAATTATATGCAATATCACTATAAAAATGTAATAGTGCAAATCCGGAATGGGCAACTATTTCTGGTATGCTCTGCAAGGAGTAATCTTTTGAGTACATAAGGCCACTGAAAATATACATTATAATTACATTTTAATATATTTTTAAAACGAGAGCTTGTTCTAATTCTAACAGATGCTCATTGTAGTGAATTCTACTGTGAACGAATTTTTTTAACTTAAAAATAATACATACCTGTAAACACCAAGTAGTGGAGAATGAACACTGTCTCCATCATATATATATAAATGATCCCAACCACATTCAGTAATGAATTCTTCAAAATGCAATCTGATTGTGGAATTAGTAGAATTTCCAGCTTCTATAAGCCAACTACACTTTACATCCAGCGAGTAGTTACCAATGCCATCAGAAATGAAACCAGAAGTTCCATTTAATCTAGAATGAAATTTAACTTGCTAATAAGACACATGTATCATTAGACCACATATAATATTGAATTCAACAATAAAATAAAATCTCAAATGGAAAAATCGCTGTGTAAAATGTATCAAGTATATCTGGTCATTAAGTAGGTTACTGTAATGGATGTATTACAATTGAATTCAACAATAAAATAAAATCTCAAATGGAAAAATCGCTGTGTAAAATGTATCTAGTATATCTGGTCATTAAGTAGGTTACTGTAATGGATGTATTAAATTTAGCAATTTGTTAAAATTATAATATAAAGATCAATTTTTTTTCCATTGATATTTATTCTGTGGTTCATGCAATTTATGTGCGATTAGTATTATTCAATACTGACAAATATTAAATTTATATTTAAGTACCTATGATCACCCTGAAGCTATAATTGAAAACAGACATGGTAAAATAAACTGATCAACACGATACACTTTTCATTTTTAGTTAGGTAGTATTCCCTAATCAACTATTAAGATTTTAATAAATTCTTTCTGATGACAAAAACTAGGCCATAGCTACAAAATAGCATGTTAACATGAAACTGATACCCATGAAGATGTCATAAAACCAACAAATTTATCGAGCGACATGTTCAGTGGTTGACCCACATTACACAGGAACAAATTTATAAGTGAACTAGACTTCTTCACTGACACAGAAACTAAGGTACTAGTATTTTATGTGTGGAGGTAACTCACTTGACTTTGCCACCACAATACTGGCACTGAGGGCCTTGCCATCCGTCGTTGCATAGGCACGTTCCATTCAGGCAGATTCCATTGCCACACTCGACATCTTTGCACCGGTCCAGTGAGCATTGTGCCAAGGATGCTAAACCGATAACGATTACCAGTAGCAGCAGAGGTGCGAAATTGGTAGCCACCTTAGTCGTCATTGATGGAACAGTCCTTTTCCGTCGATATTTGGACTTGAACAGGAACAGAAACATGTCAAACAAGACATGTTTCATGACGTGCGGTAGTCTTCGTCGTCCGACCGAAATAACAAATACTGGATGACGGAGAGATCGGGTCTTTTCTTTCCTTTTTAATAATTATTATTACAGTTAATAGTTAATATTAATAATAAATTGAATCCAATATTACTTATTGTTATTATTGTTTACTTTTTTTTTGTTAGTGTCCCGAATCTTGATGATTTCGTCGTTGTTATCTCGCTCCGTCACTCTCTATAATCACGTCAGCTAATCGTCTCCGTCGCACTCGCACACGCAAGCAGAAAACACAGTCGTCACTCGTCACCATGAAGGCATGAACAGTTCATTAGTTACCAAGATCATATTTTTATGGATCTGTCCGTACTGGAAACGCTGAACGGCCACCTAGACCCCCTGTTAATTAAATCCCCGAGATCCAAATGATACGAAAAGGATCTAGTTATCAGTGGACTAAATAACCATGAGGAACTAGTTGTCTTGGGATCTAAATTGCAATGCATTCGTATTTTGTAGTTCCAGAATAATTTATGGAAATATTTATGAAAACCAAAAATATAATCAAAATAATAGTTTTGATTCTTTTGAAAGTTTGTGACTTATACTCGCTTAACAACCAGACACTCCGTGCCATACTGCCATAGCATTTCCAGTAGTTTTAGTTATTTTGTCGTAATACAAAAAATATTATTTTTAGGGACTTGAAAGTTTTCGACGCTATATATACGTATATTTCCAGGGACAAAAAGTCTGTTTCGAAAGAGTTGGGGACAAAAGTCCGAAAACACAAAATACATTTTCATTAATAATTATATTATATATATATATTATTATGGCCTGTATGGTTATAAATATAATAATTGTATGCATTTCATACATATAATTAATATTCATTTAGAAAATGTAGTTAATAATTTTCTTGTATAATATTATATTTGATTACTATTCCCTATAGTTATATCTACAATTTACAAATATTATTGTTCCGCATAAAAATTTAAAACAATGGTCTATACAAAATTTTAAAATATTACCCTTTTGGCTTTTACAAAATATATTGTAAACAATTTTTAAAAAATAGTCAATTCAAACATCGATCACTCTACAACGATATTATAATAATAATAAATTATATTGATTATTATTCTGAATAATAAGTATAAAGGATAGCCGATAGCTAGTTATCAAATTTAATATAATTATAATTACTATATAAGAATATTAATTACATTTTTAAATTAAATATTAATTATTTACCGTGTGTCCGCGAAAACTGAGTAGCTACACTATAACTCAGTTGCTTACATTTCTCAGTAGGTACCAGTGGCGCCGAAGTCCATGCTAACGTCGGGCCATAGCCCGACCTCTTTTTTTAAAAATGTGGCCAGACGGCCACATTTTATTTACATTATAACTTTATTATGAGCATGCGTATATTAAATCCACGTCACTGTAATTACAAGTAAATATATATTGGGGTAGGTACTTCTATATTAAATAATTAATATATAGAGGTCGCAAAGTTTCGAAATTGCTCCACCACATTTTTAAAACTTCAGCGCCACTGGTAGGTACCCTATACATATTTTAGAATTCCGTTTGTGGGAAATTGATAATCCAAAATTCCAGTTTCGTGTCTCTCAAGCAGAATTAGGTATAGGGTAATATGGGTAATTCAATTATACAATGTACCCCGTTTTTGCGGACACATCTAGGTATATACCTAATAATATTATATCATTAATTATTTATATAATTACAAATGAAAACTTAGTAAAAATGTAAAATAGATTGTATTTTCGGACTTTTTGTCTGACAATAAATATGATCCCTGACTCTTTTTCCCAGCAGTAAAAAAACGAGTGTGGACTAAAAAGTCGTTGGACAAAGGTTCAACTTTTTTCAAAACGGACTTAGTTAGTTTAATGGTATTGTCCGAGTTGCGGTCGCAATAGTCGAATTGCGGTCTTAAAGGAGCACACAACACAAAAAAAAAATTCTTTAAATTTTTTTTAAATGTTAAATTATTATAGTTATGGTTATATGAAATGATTTTGTGAAGATACGATGTAAAAAAAAATATTACTTTAAGAGATATTAAGAGATGTAGAATAGCCGCGTGACGTCACTGGGCCGGAGTCATCGTAATTGCCTATCTTATACGTGTAAAAGTTCCTTGCTTCACACAACGATTTATCAACCTAAACATTTTCTTTTTAAAATTTAATTGACGTATAAATGTGTGGTTTTATGTGTTTAGGACGATGCAAGAATCAGAATTTCATTATGACGTTTAGTTTTTTAAGTATTAAAAATCTTAAAACAGACATTTTGGTTAAACGGCGGACACGTTGTTCGAACGCCACGCGCCGCTCGCCATGAAGTGCGGTTTAACCAAAATGTCTCTTTTAAGATTTTTAATATTTAAAAAACTAAACGTCATAATGAAATTCTGATTCTTGCATTGCCTTAAGCACATAAAACCACATATTTACATGTAAATTAAATTGCAAAAATAAAATGTTTAGGTTGAAAAATAGTTGTGTGAAGCGAGGAACTTTTACACGTATAAAATAGGCAATTACGACGACTCCGGCCCAGTGACGTCACACGTCTTTTTTCAATTGCTCATAACTTATTGAATAATGTGAGTAGAAACGTACAACCTATACCATTATCCTTAGAATTGAACATTCTTTCAAATAAAAAAAACTTATTTTTTGTGTTGTGTGCTCCTTTAATAATATATTGAAGGTAAAATTAACGTCTTAATTGCGGTCAGTATCTGGTTAACGATTAATGGTTACACTACGTTTTTGGATTGACTTTTCTCCCTCCAGATGAAGTGGGAAATGTGTTTTTAGTTTTAATCGCCGAACAACCTATATATTCAAGAGTTACTGAATTTAGTGACTATATTTAGTCGATAATTATATTGGGAATGACGCTACTTTTCCAACCACACTCTGGGCAGCTTTGAACAATGATGTTTGGAGAACGAATAGTGGAAGTGAAGCGTTCAATTCTAAATTCAAAACTGAGAACCGATCACCAGTCACCACATCCCAACATATTTGAATTTTTGAAATGTGTCAAAAATATTCAGATTGATACATATTCAAAAATCAATTCACTAGATTTGGAAACTAATAAAAAAGTGAGAGCATAAATCAGAAATTTACTAAAAATAAAGTACAACAGTATTTGAAAAAACAAATTGACTCGCTGACATTTGTGAAATGTGTATCATACAAATATGAACCGGTTTAATATTACAAATGTAAATATATAAATATTTTAAAACATAATAATTATTAATCATATTTTTTTACCGTAACTAGGATTCTTACCTATTTTTTTTTTACCTATTATAATCTTGACCGCAACTCGGTATCAACCAGTTTAATAGCTTATGAATGAACCATATGAACTTTTGACCAATTACCTCGTCTTTATTATTACGCAATGAAATTTTCAAAATATTTAGATTAAATTTAAAATGTCACCATGAACCTATTAACGGCATTCTACAATAGTACAATACCTACAAATTACAATCTACATGGCTATACAGTATACATTGGTATTGACTTATAACTACCTATTAAAAGCAATAATTATTGGCCGTTACCTTACTCAGTGGCGTCGAGTTCAACAAAAAAAATTTGGTTCTATATTCTAACCAAAGCTCACCCACCCACCCAATTCTTCATTCAAAAACTGAAGAAAATATATTTAACATCAAACCACACGCAACACATATTATTTTATTTTATATAATTTGTATCTATTTAAATATTAATCATTGTCAAGTGTTCACAACAATGTGTTATTGTTTTCTTACATTTATTAATTATAAACAATGTTTTAGTTCTTACCAATTTCCTATACTTATTATCTATATATTATGTAATCGGGCATGTTCAGACAGAAAATCTGATCAATGTAGAGCCCAATGATACAAATCTTACGAGCTTCTTCGCCAGAATGGAGTTTTCTAGATCTATGTTCTATAAGCCATGGCGTCAATGACCACAATGGTATAAGTCTGACTCTAAGACCAAGGCTGTAGACAAAGGGAAACAGGGGGGCATGCGCATGACCCTGCCCACCGTGCATAACTAACAAATATAATATGTTAAACGAAATTTTTAACTGGGGTGAAAATTTAAAAATATACTTATTGGTGGCTCCTCTGATAAAATTTCTAACTACGCCCCAGTGGTTTGTCTAAGATCATATTACGAATGAGAAAAAGGTCGCATCTCCATCACGGAATAGGTGAAATTTCACCTATTCTGTATCTCTATACTTCACGTGAAAAATTATCAACATATAATTTCCCGCTAAAATTTTTTTTTGAATTCACATTTTAAACATACAATTTATTCATAAAAATTAAATTATTCTTTTAATTTAATTGATAATTCTGTGGTTTATCTGTTTATCCTGTTGATATATAAAAACATAAACACAATTTGACCAAAACAAGTAATTTTAAAATTAGTATTTAGTAATATCATAGAACAATATTATTCAGCTGTGGTAATATAAATAATAATCACGAGTTAAAATTCGTGGTAATAATTCTTTATAATATTGTGATAAGAATTAAGGTTAGGTTTATACTTCGACTGATAACTTATACCTGTGGTTGATACTATCATTGTTTAATTTGAATTATAAATACGAGTATCTGGTGTACACAGTTGTAGTTGTTGCAGTTGTTCATTTCACTTATTCACGCCATACACCTTGTACCTTCGTTATTCGTATTCTTCAATACTTTTCTATGCCAGTAACCAGTGACCACCGATCACCGACATACAACCTATACAACTATTGAACTAAACAAGTATACAACTAAAGTTTGAACTAGATACCTACTAAATTGCCAAATTGGTCGATATTCTTCTGAACAGTACTTATTATTTGTTTCTACTGTTTACATGTTAAATAACTTAGTAGTCGATACTTCGTAGTTCGTAGACGCCGCAAATCAAAATGTTTAGCTTTCGAGTATTGAAACTATAATGTTCTGGTATACTAGACATCTCAGTAGATCGATTATGTTTGTATAGTTTTTATATTATAATATACTATTGAGGTTACCATTTTGGATAAGTTTTTTGAAAAATTATTTACACTCAAATTATTTACAAACTTATAAATAAGTCCGATTTTTCAATTTACTTTTTATAACAATGGATTCCAAATCAAAAAAGTATGAAATTATTGAGTTTTTGGGTGAAGGACAGGTAATATGAATTTAATTATTACATTTATTTTAAATTTTACTGTTCATATTTAGTAATATGGATGAAATAATTGTATAATTGTACAACCAACTTGACAAGTTATATTATTTAAGACCAAAATAATAATATTTCTTGATTTACATAATTTAGTTTGCCACAGTGTATAAAGCTAAGGATTCAGTAACCGACAAAATTGTTGCTGTCAAAAAGGTTATTTTGATTATACCTATCTAAAGGCTATAGCTGTACAATATATTTTAAATTACTGTTGTCTTTAGATTAAAGTTGGTACTGCGGAAGACGCTAAAGATGGTGTTAATCGTACGGCTCTCAGAGAAATAAAACTTCTTATTGAACTTGATCATGAAAATATCATTGCTTTGTTTGGTATAAAATTGAATAATTTAATATATAATCAATCTGACATGTACTGATGTGTTTGAATCTTTTTTAAACCTTTTTTTTTAGATGTTTTTGGTCATTTGTCAAATATATCTTTAGTGTATGATTTTATGGACACAGATCTTGAAGTCATTATTAAAGATTCATCAATAGTATTCACTCAGTCCCACATTAAAGCATATACAATAATGACACTAAAAGGATTGGAATATTTACATATGAATTGGATTTTACATAGAGTAAAAATTGCTTTTACTTCATCAAATACATATAAAATTAATCTACAATACTAATTTATTTCAGGATTTAAAACCAAACAACTTATTAGTGAATAAAAAAGGTATATTAAAAATTGCTGATTTTGGTTTAGCAAAACGATTTGGAACACCGGATCGTTTACACACACATAGGGTAGTCACTAGATTTTATAGAGCACCAGAACTACTATTTGGTGCACGGGCATATGGTCCTGCTGTTGACATTTGGGCAGTTGGCTGTATAGTAGCTGAACTTTTACTTAGAGTTCCATTTTTACCCGGTGAATCTGATTTAGACCAGTTAACCAAAATATTTACCACCCTAGGATCACCAAATGAAGAAACTTGGCCGGTAACAATCTTAAATGATTTTTATGTATAAATATTTGCTTGTATATTATACTTGACATAATCTATCATATTTATAAATGGCCCAATATAATTTAATTCATTAAAATCTATTTTAAAGGGTGTTTCTAAACTATCTGATTATGTGGTATTCAAAAAATTTCCGGCAATTCCTTTAAGAGAAATATTCACAGCAGCGCCAAATGAATTACTAGATGTAATTGGTGGTATGCTTAATGTGAATCCATTGGCGAGACCTACAAGTTCTGAAGCATTACAAATGCCATACTTTAGGTGAATTACAGATTTTTAATTGTATAATTAACTTATAGATTTACTTATTTTTCATATACATTTTCAGTAATCGACCACCACCTTCATTAGGTAGTCAACTGCCAATACCATCCTGTATCAGAGATAGTAATCCAGAAGATCAGGATCAGGATGCCAAAGGACAAAAAAGGAAATTCACTGATTATTCAGATGGAGGTAATTATTTTTTTAACTAAAAAGTTAAATGATTTTTACAAATTTAAATTTCCATTAATTAAAAGTATATTCAATTTTACAGTAAATAATTTAATTACAAATTTTGATTTGTTTCAGGAACACAACCAAAACGTTTAGTCTTTGATAACTTCGTATAAGTATGTTAAGCACACCAACAAGAAATAATTCCTTACATTTAAGTTGTATATTATATTTTTGTACACATTAAAATTAATTTAAATATCATCACTGTCATTATCATTGGTTATTATAGAAGGTATACAAGATTTATCTGAAAGAACACCATTTTCAATTAAAAAGTTTTCTACGTCACCGGCATAAAAGTCATCTCCTAGTTCATCTGTAATTCGCACAAAGTTGCCAATAAGTTGTCCCGCTCTATAAGCAAGTAAAGCTGGAACACCACACATTTTGAAGTTTAAACTCATACCAGCACTTGAACCAATTAGTTTACAAAATTTTGTTTTTTGAAATTCACGGCACAGAACTTTCAAACATGAATTCATGATTGAACAGGTTGGCACATTGTGTTCGTAAACATGCACAATGACAGTTACATAGGGATTTTCATTCTCAACTGCAACTAAAAAGTCATCTCCAGTTAATAAATCAAAGACTTTACCAAATTCTGGTGCTTCTTGAGTCTTGGCCATCATTTCCTTCATTCGTTTTTTACGGTATTCAGCTAGAAATTGATCATCTAATTCTTCAGCTTCTGACTTGCATGTTAGAGCCATATCATTTATCTGCTTCAATACATCTTTTTCGTGCTGTATCCTCTGAGCAGATTGCTGTCGTTTGTATTGTTCCCAATCGTTAAGTACTCCTTTTGGTCCAGTGTTTGACGATGTTCCGTCCCAGTCTGACTTTGACTGTTTGGGAGGATCCCTGTCAAGCATTGGCTCATCTTCGTCACTGCTACTACAGTAGTAATGAAGTTTTTCACCCAGCAATTTACTTTCTAAATCCGCCATGGTGAATAAATTGTTGAGGTAAGAGTAAATCACTGTACAATAATATACTAAGTAATAAGAAATAGATATTTTATTTTTAATACTTTAATCCCTAAAACTTAGGGCCAATCGTGTAAGTTAGTGTCAAGTCAACTGTCAAGTAAACAGACAACAATAAACATTAATCAATACTATTAAGATGATTATGTTATCACAGTAACACCACAGAATACCTTATCCTGTGGTAACACTGTAATCTAAAATAAAATAAAATACATATTATTGTAATTATAATATGGTTATGTACTGCAGTATAAAACATTGACATATTATTAATCACGAATTAAGATATCTTAATTCGTGTTATTAATATATATTAAACCACAGAATAGATTCTATATTAAACTACCCCTTTTGGCCTTACACTAGTATAATGTCTTTACTTAAAACGGCTTCTTTGAGTATTCTTGAGTGTATTGTGGTAAACCATTGCGGCATGGCCACCTGAAATCAAATATTTCGATTATTTTTACTGAATTTTACAAATTTCAATGTTTTTGTTTTACTGTATTGTGTTTATTTATGTACATGATTATGTTAATATTCATTAATATTATAGAAAAAATTTTAAAAAAATTAATGAACGACGTGTTGTACAAGTTAATTTTTTTCATTTTTTAACGCGTTCACTTAAAAAATACACGAACGTGAAAAAGTTCTTTTTTTAAAGGCTGAACATGAACGAATTCCTTTTTTTTTAGTTAAATTTTCGAACACTGGTAAATAGTTATAGGCGTTTAGCCTATATAGGTTAAATCAGTACCTATTGACCTCATAAGTTGTATTTGTGTGTAGTTTTTAGATTTAAATGAGAAATAATCAATATGGCTTTAATCTAGTTTATCGCCAACGTGAATTTTTCATTTTTTTGGAAACTTATGTATTACAACTAGTTAAGAACTAAACCGCAAAATATAATTGGCATTTGGCGGAAACTATTACTTTGGAAGTTATCGCCTTCCTTTTACGTCTATACGGTTGTGTGGAATACTACTTTAAGGGGATCGGTATTGGTATAGCTGACAGTTAATTTAGCTAAAACATAAAAATCTTTTGTTCATCGTACTTATCGACATAGTAATACGATAATCCTTTTTAGAACTGGTTTGAATTTATTATAATGTCTACTTGAGATCGGTCAGTCAACTTTTTCCAATTTCACCCCCTAACAAGTAACAATCATACATTTAGTTGGAATATTTTGAAATTTTCAAAAGTTGATTATTCGGAATTTAACTTTCAGAAATCTTAAAATGTTGACTAACCGATCTCAAGTAGACATTATAACGAATTCAGATCAGCGAGCTAAAATATTATAGCATTATTATGTCGATCGGTAGGGTGGACAAAAAGTGCATACGAATGAGCATAAATTGTGTATGCCTCACCCGCTCAACGAACTCTCCGCCATTTCTTTTTCACACAGTCGCACACACTAATCATCACTGATTACCACGGATTAATGTATTAATATATTAATCCGTGCTAATTACTAAGCACACATTTACAAGAACCGCAGGAATGCAACTTGAAAATTGACTATTTCGAACTCCCTAAAAACTGTCCACCGCCGATCCCCTGATGTCGCTCGGAGCATAGTACAAGGAATAAGAAGTATGCTCAACGATGACTGCTCATATTTGTATAAGGGACAATGTATAATTTATGTAGGCAACCAGCAACAGACACAATGCGACGTCACGCTTATACATTTATTCTTAGGCCTCTTTCACCGCCACGCGAACGGTACTTACGGCGTTCGCGTTGATCATACTTCGTATTTCTTATGGTATGGCGGGATTGCGGGAATAACCTGGACCTGGTACGTAATTACCGTGTTATATACAATATACTAGTTGTGAAATTGTTTTTACCTTGTGACCTATTCCCAAAAAATAGTGATCTCTAATAATTTAGATTCGCACCATAGTACATTGATCCACATAGTTCTCAATAAAAATAATTGAAAAATATGTTATAAGCGCGTCAAAATGGAGCGTTGTGCGCATGCTCAAAATACCGAAAATTGTGAACTTCGTGAGGCTATTTTAAAAACTAATGGTTTCCGCCCATTAATTCTTGCACCATTGTTCTTAACTCGTTAGAATACATGGGTTTTCCAAAAATAATTGGAAAATTCGCTTGGGGAGCTAAACTAGATTTGTTCCAATTTTTACAAACAAAAAACGTACAAAAAAAGTATGATTTCAATTTTTATTTCTGTATCACATTTTGTCAATACTTTCTAAATACTCTTTATGTAGTGTTGCGTGAGTTGATTGAATTTTCTGTAACTTCTTGGTCAATCCTTTACTAATTTTGTTACCTTGGTGGTCAACAGTTGGTAACCCCTATAAATAATTTAAAAAATATATATATTATGGACTATATAATTAGTTTTAAAAAATAATTAATATTCAAAATGTAAGATATACAAGCATTTACATTTTCATCAAATTCTGAATATTTGTCAGTTTCTAATTTAAACAAATCTTTTGGATGTATTTTTTTAAGTTCTTCTTTTTTAGCCCGTGCTTGTTCTTGTTCTTTTTTCTTTTTTTCCTTTTCAGCAAGTTTATCTGCTTCTGCTTTAGCTTTTGCTTTTTTTTCACGTAAAATTGCTTCTCGTCCCACAAATTTAATAGCTGTAGGTTTTCCATCAACATCTTCTAAACGAACTCCATTATCTGGCAGTGTTTCATCTCTGAGTTTATCACACAATATTAGTATATCTTTAGAACCTATTGAACGAGCAATAGCACGGACAGCATCACGGAAATCTGACAAAATGTTCAGGTATGGAGTGACAATAGTCTCAACCTATTAAAAAGCATTGATGTATTAATGTAAGCATTTTTTATTTTTTACTAGGCGTATTATAGAACTCTAAATCAATAATAAACAATTCTATACTCCATTCACGTTTAGAAGAAACCTTGGCAGCAGAGTTGTACGCAGTACTGTGGCATATAACATATGCAGATATACATAGATGGTTAATTTGGCGAGAGAGAAAAACTGGTCACTGCTGGGGTTTCTTAACGTGAATGGAATATAAACTAAAAACAAATAAATGTAAAGCTTACATCGGTTGAAGAACTTCCTTCGCTTACTGGGAATCCAATTTCATCTGCTGTCTTAATGCCAAATACTTTCAATATTTCTGTGATGTACTTAGCTATGTCCAATAATAAGGTATGATTTATGGTAGACGAATTGCAGTCTCTTAAATATACATTACAGGCAGATATACATTCTCTGATTGCTTCTAATACTGCTTTTGTGTCAATATTATCTAAAAAAATTGTTAGTTGATTAAAATACTTTTGTTTACCATCTAACAATTTACAATTAAAATTTACCACACAATGCAGCATGAACATTTAATTTACATAAATTAAACTTCTTGCTCAATTCTTTTTCAGAAGCTAACCACTTTGAATATCCAATAGCTAATTTATCAACATCATTTCTTCTAGTTACATGTTTTACATTTAAAAAGAATTCCTAAACAATTTAACCCATCATAATAAATATTAGCTACAAAAAATTCAAAATGATAGTATAATCATATTAGACTAACATTGAGAAGTTTTTCACAAGCCATCGCTGACTCCATAGTGCTTTCGCTATAATCTAAAGTGTCCTTCCATGAATGTAGTAAAAAGGCAAGTCTCAATTGTCTTGATGTATTATTTTTTAGAGCATCTTCAATAGTTATAAAGTTCTTCAGTGACTTAGACATTTTACATCCTGAAATTGTCAAATGACCTGAATGCAAAAAGTACCGAACCCATTCTTCGTTGTTATAATAGGCCTACAAAACAAATAATAATTGTATCAGTTAATGGTACAGTAAAAGATGTATTGATTTATACTAATAATTACTTCTGCTTGAGCAATTTCGTTATCATGATGTGGAAATTTTAGATCAATGCCACCGGTATGAATATCTAATGTTTGGCCTAAAATACAGGAAGCCATAACAGAGCATTCAATATGCCAGCCAGGTCTCCCTTTTCCCCAAGAAGAGTTCCACCATGGTTCACCTTTTTTTGATTTTTTCCAAAGGGCGAAATCATTAGGAGAACGTTTTTCATTAACTGCACTTGTTGTTAAATCACCTAAAATATTATTATTAGTTTCATCATATTCTAATATTTTTTCAGTTTTCATCATAACTAGATGACTAGATGACTTCATCATGTAATTATAAGTGCATTTGGTTAGTAAATACAACAGACTGTTTACTGTCTATTTTATTTAACATTAGTGGTTTTTAAACAAAAATTGAAAATATAGAAAAAAATGGTGGTTCAAACAATTTTAATTTACATAATATTACACAAGAAATGTACTTTCAAAAATATTTTTAAATTAGAATCCAAATAAACTTTTATGTTGTAATTTGTTATAAATTCTAAAAAATGTACCCTCTCCATCTTGAAGTGATTTTGAATCTCCATATGCTTCTGGAACTAACTTAGCATAATGGTGAATAGGTTGAGAATCAAATGTAGCAACATCAAAATATACTGAACCGTTAGATTCATAAGCATAACCATTTTTTATTATTGTTTCTATGTATGCTATGATTTCAGGAATGTACTCACTCACCCTAGAAAGTTTATCCGGTGGTAAAATCTGTTAATGAAAAAATTACATACATACTTTGTAAGTCTTCACATTAGTATTTAATTAAGAGTTAATAATTTTACTCAACATTTAAAGAATCCATATTTGAGTGGAAATTTGATTCCCAGAATCTGGGTAGAGATTCAAATATACTATTATCAGGAACATCTGCACTATTTAATGTGTCTAAATATGCACCTAATGGATCTTTGATTTCATTTAAGGCCAACTACAATAAAACTTTGTTTATAATTCTTCAAAATGAATAAATTATAAAGTTTAACATACTTTTATATCATCCAACAATAACCCTTCAATTAGTTGAGAAACAGAGGTCAATTTCTCTATAGCCTTTAATGTCATAACTTTTTTGTCGGGGTCCATCTGTTCAATATTTTTTTTTAGGTCACCTAGAGCCAGAATAATATCTTTTTGCACAATTTGTTTATCAGTAACTGTCTTTACATACTCTTCAAACAAATGTAATTGTCGTGCTCGTTTGATTATTTTGTCATCAATATCTGTGATATTCATGACATATTCAACATCATAACGAAAATAATCCTTCAATACTCTACGTAGTATATCAAACGTAATGTAACTCCTAGAAAAGTAAGAAACATAGTTAATTCCTTAAAAAGAAAATATAAGACAATATGTGAACTTACCGAGCATGTCCCATGTGTGAAGCATCATACACAGTAGGCCCACAGCTATACCAATGCACTTTATTCCCATTTTTTGGGATGAATATCTCTTTCTTTCTCGTCAAGCTGTTGAATAGCTTTAAGCGAGGTGTATCTGACATTTTGTCACAAGACCATGCTGGTTGACTTCGCTTTGTAGTAGACATAATGAATGATGACACTTAGTGAAGGAGAACAATACTATACCACAGAATAATATAATATATAATATAATATAATATATATACTAAATAGCCTATAACCGGCGTGGTCTCAATGCAGCAAAATGTTGGCCGAGTTATCACTTAATATTTAATCAAATATATACCAAATCTGTTATCATAGATTTATTCACGGTCTTAGCACAGATTATATTAAACTGTTGTGGTCTTAGATTAATCATAGAGATCTAAGATCTATGAGATTAATTATCAGATATATAAAACATAGATATAGCTGTGGTAATTATTTAAGTAATTAAATTGTATCATATGCACTCTCACTATTAACACAGACCATATGAAAATATTTCATTAATTCTGGGCTTATTCATCTTCAAATCCAGATACTCTATTGCATTAGTTCCATTCGTGTAATGTTTTGAAATTTGAGTCTTATGAATACTTCTCTTTTTAGTTGAGTAAAGTCAATTCTAAGTAGGTTATCATTGACAACAATTTAAATCCACTCCAAATTTTTTCTAGAATTAGATATAGTCAGAGAAAAAAAAATATTAATAGTTAAGCTGTTCCCTAGCACACCCCTCCCCTCATTTCGAGAACTTTATATTAGTATATACTCATAGATTGTATACCACAAATTAAAATATAAATGTAAACATCCCACACATGTACCCACTTAAGACCTATGAGATTAAAGAATATATTAAATTTAAATATATATTTAATGATTATGATGATACAATGATACCTATCCTGCATATCCTAATTTACAAATGAACATAGGCCAATTTATTGGTTAATATCATTAATTTAAAACCATCTTATACACATTTTAATAGATAAACATTTATTAAGTAAAAATCACATTCATGATTCATAGCTCTAAAATGTTTATCACATATGTTCATGATACACATTTTCCTTTACACAGTAAATATACAATACAATTTTTTTAATAACTGTTCAACATTTCTGTTTTAATTTTAATGATTTCCTGGGTTTGCTTATATTTTTTAACTAAATCTTTATATTGTGGACCATCTACGGTCTTATATTTATCTTGAAGTTTCTGTAATTCCTCGAACTTTGCCAAATCTGTTTCATATTCCTTTTCTTTAGCACTGTAGTATTTTTCCAATGATTCAAATAAATCATTTGAACAAGAAAATTTACTGATGATATCACTCTGCAACTTACTAATAAAAGTGATTAAACAAATTGAAAATTACAATCCAAAAGTTATGTCTTACTTTGAATTATCTTTAATAACATCTAATTTTTTTGATAATTGTTGGGCTTCTAATATATTGACATAGCTACTGTCCAATAATGCAAGCATCGAATGTTGTATTTCTTTTTGATTATTTGTATACTTGTTCAAAAGAGTCAACATATTATTTAATTTATCTTTTATAGTATCTGGCATAACTGATTCAGATTCAATCAACTTTAACAAATCTACAAAAACAATAATAATATGTAATATAGATATTAGGTCTTTATATCCACATTCCACACACAGTTTGGTTTAATAACTTGCATACCTGCGGGGATAGATTCTTTTTCGTTGTTGATCAGAGCACACTCCTTTTGAATGCACTCTTCAATGCATTTATTAAATTTAATTTTATCATCGTCTGTCAACTCCTTTACTTTATAATGGGACTCTTCATCTTTAAAAAGTCGATAATGGGCAGTTATATCTGAGCATTTTTTTCTCAATTCATCATCCTTAATATGACTTAATGAGTTTACAAATATACGTAGTTTAAGAGCTTCTAATTCATTAAATCTTATCTCGTTAGTGACTTCTTCTGTATTGTATTTCTGTTCAGGAACTTGAACTCCGCGAATCATTTTTTCGAATTTTTTCAGTTTAAGAGCCATGATATATGTTTAAATAAATCAATTGGTTCTAAACAAACTGTTTGATTTGAATAAAATCACAGTTCAATGTTTACAAAACTAAAAAAGTTTAACTGCTAACAACGGAAAACGGAAATTCAAATCTGAAGTTTAATATTTTCATATATTTACTAAGGTAATCTGATAATTTAACAATAGATTGTATGTTATCTCGTATTTCTATGATTCTTGCCATGAAATAAGTATGTTAATATTTTTATCGTGGTTCATTCCAAGATCTTTATACTAAAGTTGGATAATATAACTACTAACTATAGTGAGTGGTAATGTACTCTATAGAAGTATAGACTGAGTTGTTGAATAACGAGTAATTGTCTGTATTCCGTGTAAATTGTCCATTAATAAATTGTAACAATTTTTTATAATTTTTTTTTTCGTTTTGCATACCATTATTTACGTGGAAAATACTGTAAGAAAAATATTTGATTGTATTTAATTAATATTCTCGTCAACTGTACATTAGATGAAAGCAATAATATAAAAACCAAAATGACAGATGTTCAAATAATAATGCGGTTTTCTATTTTTTTTTTCAGATATTTCAAAATGGAGAACGTCTTAGAAAAACAACTATTGAAAGTGGCAGAATCAATTGAGCAAAAGCTTGATCAAGAAATACAGAAACTTGATGAGTTGGACTTAGATAGTATAGAAAATATACGAGAACACCGCTTGCAACAGATGAAAAAAATGATCAAACAGAAGGAAGAGTGGATGGCTAAAGTATGAGTTATTTTAATTATTGGCCTATAATTTACTAAGTTATTAAATTTATTTTTCAGGGACATGGAGAATATGAAGAATTGAGTGATGAGAAAAGTTTCTTTGAAAAATCAAAATTGAGTCCGAACATGGTGTTACACTTTTACAAAGACGGATCAACTCGATGCAAAATAGTTGATCATCATTTAAAAATATTATGTGCACAACATTTGGAAACACGTTTTGTCAAACTTAATGTTACACGTTTTCCGTTTCTGACAGAACGCATGAAAATACGAGTCATACCAACCATTGTGTCAATAGTAGATAGTATATCCAAAGACTTTATTGTTGGTTTTACTGAATTAGGGAATTGTGATGATTTCTCAACCGAGATGTTGGAATGGCGTTTAGCACGTTCTCAAGTCATTGATTACAAGGGAGACTTACTTAACCCACCAGATGTAGTCAAAAACAACAGAACAATGTTATTAGAGAAAAATAAGACAATAAGAGGTTATGTAGGAAATGATTCAGATGGTCTAGATTCCGATTAATCTGATCTGAAATGTTAAACTAATATACTAATAATATACTAATATAAATCATAATTTATTTTTTTTAAATACTTATAATATTGTTAATCTTGCTTAACCTCTACTGTAGAATATTTTTTACATTCCTACAAGGTTCTTCATGTCATTTTTTACGTATGATTTTTTTTTTTTATTAGACTGAAATATTGTTTTTTAATTAGTGTTGTAAAACGCTCATTTAAGTTACTCATTCCTGCATATTCAAAAAAAAAAACAAATTAATATATTTTTCAAAATCACATTTATTTCACTTATCTTATTTTGAAATTGTATCTGTTTAGAACAAAAAGTAATTATAATTAATGAAATATATTATTTTGTAAGTTTGTTAATTAATTGAATATAATACTCACTGACACATAGGTAAGCTTAGTCTATTCTATACCCAATTTGTAATTTTTTATAATATTTTTTGTTGAATTCAATAAAATGATATCTCTGATAAAAAAACATGTTTTTTTAAAATTATTTATACATAAATAGAGCTCAGATATTCAATGCATACATATCTTTTTTCAGGAATGCTCGACTATGCTTTCCAAGAAACAATAAGTAAATACGCACTATGCAATAATTTATTTTTGAAAGCCACGTGTTTAGAGATTGTGAATGTGCATTAAGAATATACTAATATATATAACTTTCCGTAAAATTTTTAGGTCTATAAGACTCACTTGTACTTTTAAAAATTATTTCCCTAGCAAGAATTGAAAAAATGTATGGGCAATTTCTCCAGCGTTATCAAAAATAAATATTAAACTACCAACACATCAGTTAAAAAAAGTAGCTTAGTAGCGATAACCTGGCTTCTCACTATCAAAATTATAAAAATAAAAAGAGGTTTTACCTTTAACTACTGTACAACTATTAGCCTCAAAAGTAGGCCAGTTGTTATTACGAGTCAAATACCTGTGGCAAGAGATGCATACATATCAAGACACCAGATAACGGATGTATGAAAGTAATCAACTCATGGGAAAATCATTTCTAAGAAATGAGATGGAATAGTAATGCGGGTGGGGCATACAAATGGACACGTTGAGTAATCACACTAGTTATTTTACAACTACGCTTCATCCTGTTCCCATCAGGAATACTTAGGGAGATTGCTACATTATTATAGAAATAAGTAACATATTATGATAAATTTAAAACCCAATACTGATATTAGGACATATAAATATAAATATTTTATAGAGATAAATTGGTTTGGTTAAAAAAACAACATTTATACAAAATACAATTTAATAATATAAATTATAAGTACATATTAAAAATTTTACACTTAATAAAAAAATTGTTTACTTGTTTAATCCAAAATTATGGTACCAGTGTCACTATTTTCATCATCAGAAACAACTAAAAACAATATAAATATAAATTTATCAATTTAAATTCCTTAAAAAATAATGAAGACAAAGAAAATACACATTCCTTGAACAATTATACAGATTTCAATCACAAATATTTGAGGTACTTTTGGTTTTGCTAATAATTATTTTAATTCATTATTGTAGAATAATTCATTTCTAATTTGTTTTCACAAAATTCTATTACCCACCAGGCACCAGTACATCTGGCAACTTTCAAAAATGGCAATATAGACTTCAAACCTAACTACGGGTTAGGTTAGGTGGGATATTCCAAAACTTTGTTTACTACATTCTTTATTTTTTGACATCTATCTCCATAATATTTTGACATCTATCTCCATAATATTTTCACATCAAAATGTAATGTTATATTATGAGTTATGACTAGGGTCCAAATTTTGATATGAAGTTCAATATTATTTGGGTGCTGTCAGATAACACATTCTAAGTACATAATTCGTTTCATATAACAGACAATAGATATTTCATACGATAAACTCTTATTTTGTATTTATTGCTGTTTCTACAAGTAAAACGTAATGTTTAGTATTGTATTAATACATTGTATGAGCTTATGTGTAAGTTAGGAAATTCAAAATACTGTATCAAGAATGAAAAGAAACAATTTTTGCCATAACAAACTTTCCACAATTTATCATAATTAATATGTGCTTTATGGTAAATTGTAACACAACAGCAGACACGAGGAGTATACATATAAACTATTACATCATAACCTTTTTTTTAGGGGAGAGGGGTGGGGGGTGTCAATAACCAAAAAGTAATATACTTAAACTTTAAAAAAATGTAGTGAAAATATAAGCTTGGTGGAATAATTTTATTATACAAGATCAATAGTACTTACCATATTTGCCAATAACAGGTCTAATATCATCTAATTTATAATGGTCAATAATTTCAACACTTTCATCACTTGATGATGATTCACTACTTTCAGGATCAATGACTATTAAATCGTCATTTTTGCCTTCTTGTTTTACATTACTAACTTGGTGTATATTATTATGAGAAGTTGTAAATGCAGTTCCATCAGTTATCTTAATCACGTCTTGATCAACCACCATTTTTTCTACAACACAAACATATTTTAAGGGGCTTAACAGTTATTTTTACTATACAAATTATTAAGCTGGGTACATAGATTAAATTTATACATTTTATACACGATACAACAGAGTATATAAACCGTCAGATGCCTATTCTTTCCATATCCAGGTGTATACCTACGGCCATGGTTGCCTGACCCAAGTAAAAAAATGAGATCATACTTCTTTTTCATCTTGCGAATATTAAAATGAATATCTAAGATTCATTTTCAAATAATAAAAGTGTTACAATTATTATAAATGGACAGTAATAACTACATTTATTATAAAAATGTCTTATTTATTTTGTAATAATATTATCATTTAGTAAGGTATTCAAATATTCCTGTCTTTGAACTATAAAAAATTTAGTAAGAATCACTAACATAAGTCTGATGACTCCATATTCATCCAATTGATATTCAAGAAAAAAAAATTAAAATGCTCACAATTAACATGATTTATTTATAAGGGAAGGTTAATTAAAATTGAGATACCTAATAAACAAAAGACACAAATTATTAATTAATAACAATAATAAATAAATACAATTCTATACCATCAATTTCTTCTGCTATATTTTCTTGATTGGATGGACCAACAAAATGTAATTTATCAGACAAACATAATTTTAGACTATTTTCTTCAGAAACTGCTGGTTCTAGGCCTTTAAATGATTTACACGAACTGCTAAGACATAAATAATGAAAACACACACACAAATAATAATTATGGATAAAATGAACAAAATTGTTTAATCAAACAGAATTTATAATGTTTAGTTGTAAATAAAATAAAAATGTAATTTTTTTGTGAAAAGAAAACCTGTTTCATGTGTAATAACACCACATATCAAGGATACAACTCTTTATCAATATTATATTTTTAAGTTCAAGTAGTTATAATATCACTTGATGGTTCGGTTTGATTAACTAAAGTAAAATATATTAAACAATTTAAATTATTGATCTTACCGATTTTTAATATCAAGTTGTATAGCAGATTTTATTTTATCTACAAGTTTAATAGCCACGGAAGCTGCTTGAATGGAACAGTTCATTAGAAGATTCTGACTTAAAGAAGCACACCCTTCAATGTCTACACCACACATTTCACTGTGGTTGTTAAAACATATAGACAATTTATTATCACAGACTTTGTCTTCCAGAAGCGATGGATCCAATATAATAAAATCACTAAAATAAAATCTTTGAATATTAATTATAAAAACAATGATTAGTGCATACAAAAAATAACGTACTATTTTTCAAAAATGGCAAAGCTTGCAATTACTGGATGATGATGAAGAGATAGTGGTATAGGATCTCTTTCTGAACTCGAATAGACAACTACTTTTTCTCCTGTTGACAGAACATCTGGATAGCGAAAATGCATTAATGCTGCTAAAGTTGCAATTGAACAACATCCCAAAGTATTACCATCCATGTTCAAAACACTCAAATCTACTTTAATTTTCCATACCTAAATTGTTTTAAAAATCAATTAAACTTTTTACACTAGTAAAAAGAAAACCTATGCATTTTTTTGTCATGGAAAAAAATCCACTGACTAGAAACAACAATCCCCAATACAAAAACTATTAATTAACCTACTTACTCCAAATGGCAATTCGAATGACAGATAAAGATATTATAAGTATATAAATAGTATCATAAATCAACTAAAATATAAATAAATAGGTATAATGGTATTATTAAAATAGGTACTATACTATACAGGGTATTTAACTATTTTTTTAAACAATGCAGTTATTCAAAATCTGATTTTTTGAATTCTTAATTATTCATACTTAAAGTCAGTGGCAGCTCGTGCTATGGGGCACTGGGCACTTGCAAAATCTACCAAATTGAAAGACTGAAGAAAAATGTATATTAAATTAAAATTGAGTAGGTGTTTCTCCCATCATAATATAGTTTGTATATTATTTAAAAATATTATCGAAAAAAAAATGTTATCAAATACTTAGGTACAATTATATGTACATCCTATCATATTATAGGCATTATCAAATTTGTTGTGCCCCGATGGCCCGATCAACGTAACTAAATTCCCCCCACTTTTCGACACAAATTAATAAGGAGTTGCCGGATACAATGATTCTATTTTTATTACGATTTACAAGATTTTGTCAGTCTTCCATGGCACAGAAATTATATTTGTATATAGATAATATGAATTTTATTTTATTTAAAAAATCAACAGGAGTTGGTGGTAAGTTCAAAGTTGTGATGCTGAAAAATGAGGGAAATAATTGTGTCCCACCTTCAATGAACCTCACAACTACCACTGCTTAAAGCTCATATTTTCAAGTTCTTAAATTGTTTGTATTACTTAAGGTATATCCTGCAGCAATTTAAACATATGTTCTTCAAATGAGAACCCCTCTTTTTATTTGAAGATTAATAAGTGGATAATTGTTTTTTGAAAATTTTAAAATACCTAATTCATAATTCAAACAAGTAGTTTCTCATTTTTATGAAGGTGAATTCTTTTTTTAATAAGTGGATCTTTATTGTGTGAATTTTCTATGGTGATCTTCCTATTTACCTAGGGTTGCCATACGTCCCGGTACACCGGGACATGTCACCAGTTCATGACTTCGGTCCCGGTCGTCCCACTAGACCCTACAAAAGTCCCGGTTATGTGTAAATAATATTATTACCAATAATTATATTAAATTATGTTTTTATAAAAATTATATTTGTATTCTAAAACCATGAATTTCACGTTGAATTTCATACGTATGCTATGGGAAAACCAGAGCTATTGAAACAGGTGAAAAAGTCAGAAAAATATAATATTTCAAAATAAATTAATAATATTTCGTTAATCAAATGTATCTTCTAATTTAATGTCTTTCATAATTCAATACTATTATTATTTTATTCTATATATTATATATATATTCATTACACTGTGTTCTAAATTTTAATATTAAAAAAAAAAAAGGTTCAAATTATTTTTGTAAATGTCCCGGTCAGTACTTGAACTTTTGTGGCAACCCTATATTTACCACAATTCACTAATTTATATAAAACAAAAATAAATTAATCATACTTTTTCCTCAGCAATTATACATAATGACTCAAGATCTATACATTTTGAATCTTTATAGAATCTTTCCAAAACTTGATTTATTTTTGTTAGATCATTAAGCTTGTCGTCACCAGCTAATTCAGCAGATATTTGTAGTACACCTTCATTTGGACGACTATTGTTTGGTTGATATATTTCACAGCTAACTTGAGCAAATACGCGTGTGGAGCCAAGTGTTACTAAACAATTACCCCAGTCAAGCCCAAATTCAATTTTCAATGGTCTATATTCATCTTTTTTACGACCATCAAGACGCTAAAGAAAAAACATTTACAAAAATATTTATTAAAATTCACATACCACGATTGTACTAAAATAATTAGTTAAAATGTGAATTCAAACTTCAAATAAGTCACAAGAACCCAAAAATGTACTTACTATTTTTTGAGATGCTGCTTCCAATATGAACGTTTTTTCACAATCAGATAATGGATTTACATTCATGGTAAGGATTGTTGTTATATTATAGTCTTTACTTATTATTTATCTAGGATATTTCGAAATTGAAAATTCTGTAAACTGCATTGAGCATTTGTAAACATTTAAAACAATACATAAGCATAACAGCAAAAGGCAATACTGCAATACGACATGAGCGCATAACCTGAAAGTAATTTAAAAATCAACCATCAAATTAAGTTAGATAACATATTATCATAAACCTATGGTTTGGCGTGGAGCTGTTCTTCCCTCGAGATAACGGCCCGAGCCGTTTCCTGGAAGAAACGATGTTGTTGGTTTATAACGTCTTTGGATATCACTTTGGGTATAAAAATGAATGTTTTCAGATTAATTATCAAAATGCTAACCCCAAAAACGAGTTATCATAACTTTGAGTCGTGCCGTTTAATGTTTACACCGTATTCAGTTTATTGACGCTAAAAGTAAAATATATCAAATATTGCGCCCGAGTACGATTCTGAAGTTTTTATTTTTGAAACAAATTATTTCTAAAAACTAAAATGTATAAAGTTCCTCAAAAAGTACAGAAGGTAATGGTACAGCCCATTAACCTTATTTTCCGACATTTGCAAAATCGTGCTAAAGTTCAAGTAAGTATTTCAAACGTAATATTTTTATAGTCTAGTTGTGTATTTACGGGAGCGGATGACAAGTTTATGGCATAAAGTTGCTATACGTCTGGCACAGTAGTAAAAGTCATCACTCAATAGCTTTTACTTAATAACTAAGATGTCAGTCGTTCCAGCATACCTAGCAAGTGTATTTTAATTTATTAAAGAAGCGAATAGGTGGGTAATGCTCTGATGTACAATGATCAATTGATGTGTTAAATATTAATCCAATGATATAAAATCATTTAAACAAAAATTATCTAAGCGAAGATGACCGCCTATATTATTACCAACTATGTATATTTTATAATATTATTCTGATAAAAGTAATTTATTTTACTATACCTAATATAATAGGCATTATAGTACAACCATAGTAGGTTAAATCTATTTCAAAATAATGCCATTGGGAATGTTTAATAAAATATGTACCTTTTTTTAGAGTTACACCAAAATTCTAAACCGATTTTGTGTAAAAATTCCCAATTTTCCTTAATTTTTTGGGGGGTTTTCCCGGCACTTATATAGCATCAACTAAACACGCTGTCCCATCAAAAAAAAATACTGAAGTTGAAAATTGAACCATTATTTCAGCTACTTATCGTGTATACAGACAAAAAAAAATCGGGTAAGTGGATGTCGCTCATCTGTACATTAGGTGTCTAAAAAGTCATTGTAATGGATGATATTTAATTTGAAATCAATGATATAATATCATTGTATACGATTAGCTATTCTGAGCAGAAACAGTATTACGGTCTAGGATATTTTATATTATTAATATGGTGGCTGGTAAGTTGAATTGATATTATTCTTAAATTATCAGTGATAAAATGAAAAATATTGTATATACTTATGCCTATATATTTTTTGATGAAGGTAGACAACCTTGTAGTGAATCTTGTATTACATTTTAAAATCTTATAGATATAAATAGAAAATTGGTTATGAATTTCTAACTAAATATAATTTGCACATTTTCATAATTTTTACGTATTTTGTCAAAATTTGAAATTCAGACCCTTAAAAAATTACTGTGGATCTACGCTCAAATTTTTTTTAATTTTCACTTACAACAACTTATGAGGAACTTTGTATTACATTTTCAAGGATTTTGACAGTACCAACATATTTTTATAGATACACCTAAATCGAAAAAAAAAAACAAATAATAATCAAAAATTTCATATGGGTATAAATTAGTTCAACATGAGTCAAAATATCTTGAAAATTGTATGGTGTGTAGAAAATGCAAACACAAACATACAGTGAAATTGCGTGTATCTACTCGTATTTTCATTGTTTAGAGTTAAACCAAAATCGATTTTTTCAAAAACTGGTTTTGAATAAAAATTCCAGTTTTGTCTTAATTTTTTGTTTGTTTTTCGTGTCGCTTTTGAAAACTTTTGGAATTTTGAATTTTGACCTCCATTTGAGAGGTCAAACTAGGGATGACCAAGTAGATTCACTTTCCTACCAGAAAAGTTGTTGAAAAAAATTGAAGCACTTTTACTGCCCCAAACCTTGAAGACAGGCTCAAAAAATAAAAAAACTTACATCATAGTAAAATCAATACTAAGCCTTTTAAATTATAATATATTTATATTGTATTATCCTTCAATAATAAATAATGTATTTAAATCTACTCCTTCTAAGAAATTGTAAATATTCAATGACTATCAAATTTAATCATGTATTCCAATTGCAGGTATGGCTCCAGGAAAAAATTCATTTAAGGATTGAAGGACATATTGTGGGTTTTGATGAATATATGAATCTAGTCTTGGATGAAGCTTGTGAAGTTAACACTAAGGTTGACTCAAGGAAACCAGTTGGTCGCATATTGTTGAAAGGAGAAAATATTACATTAATTCAAAATATGACTCCATCCATAGGATAAAATCAAGAACTGTCTGAATAAAAAATATATACTTCAATATATCCTTTGTAATATAAATTCATAATAAAATATCTTAATGCTTAAAACTCAAACTATGTGTAACCTGCAGTAATTAATGTATGACCAATTTGTGTTGGGTCGCAGTCAGGCAACACCTGTTTGCGGCTTCCCCCTAGTCAATTATCCACAACTCAGCTGCCGACTACTATTCTTATTTTGAATATAGACTATAGTATATTATAAAATTATTTACACATATTATATACTTGAATCATAAATAATTATTAATAACCTACAAATAATTGATAAAGTGAAGCAAAATGATACCTTCCCCCCACCCCCACAATTATGCCACAGGTAAAGGTATAGAATCTGTGTAAATTGCATGAGGCTATCTCAATTAAAAGAGTATTTTTACAATTAAGCTTAAAAAAATCTATTTCAACAAAAACACTAAAATTGTTATTATATCCACATATTCAAACATCAACTAACCTTACTCGTAACTGTAATTTGGCAACTTGCTACCAATTTCCATATAAATTATTTCAGTTGATAGCCATGTTACAATTATGTAAGATTTTTAATTTTCAAAAATTATGGTTTTTGTGACATTGTAAATACAATATATATGTTACGGGCAAAGTGGAAAATTCGGGCATTGTATACAATGTCCGAGGTATATTGGGCAATGTAAATTGTGAAGTATTTATACAAATAATCTGCATAATATTATTTTACCTAATCAATGATATTATATACTAATAATTATTATACTCGTTTATATGGTTATTTATGTAAGAGTATTACAATTTTTTTTAAATTAATTAAATTTAAAATGTATTTAAAGGTAATGCAATAAAATATTATGTGCATAATGTTCAGTTATATGATATTGTACATGAAGTTCATTTGTCAATTGGACATGGAGGTAGAAATAGAACGGAACACGAGATTAATAAAAAGTACAAAAATATAACTAGAGATGTAATAATGTTATACTTAAATAATTGTGAATCGTGTAAAAAGAAGGGAAGTACAGCTAAAAAAGGGTTGGTTGTAAAACCAATCATATCTTCTGAAATGAATTCTCGCTGTCAAATTGACTTGATCGACATGCAAGCACAATCAGATGTCGATTATAAATTCATATTAGTTTATTATTATCATCTAACAAAATATATTATGCAGATTATTTGTATAAATACTTCACAATTTACATTGCCCAATATACCTCGGACATTGTATACAATGCCCGAATTTTCCACTTTGCCCGTAACATGTATATATATAATATAAGTAAAGTTTCTTATAAAAATAAAAGCAATTTAGATTGGCATTTATCTGATGGTCAATGTCTTCAATTGCCGCTTTTATACTCTAAAACAGTGGTGATCAACCTTTTTCTACCTTGGGCCATAAAAAAAATCTAGGCTGCAAAAAGCTTAAACTTTTACGTTTTGTTGAATATTATATTTTATTGTTGGCACGTCTTAGTATAGGTACATCAATAAATGTTCAGCCTATTATTCAGATGATGAGTAATGTGAATAATTCATTCACATTAAATTGTACAAACATTACATTTTTAGTAACTTTTTCAATTTTGATTTAATTTTAACACTGGTGGACCGTTTAATAAATTATTGTACTTGGTTACCACTACTCTATACCGAATGAGATTGGAAAAAGTAGCTTTGGAATGGCAGGACTGCTGTGATTGACAGCAGGAGTTGGAAACCGAAAAGATTACATGCGCCAACAGTAACTCGTTTCTATTTGAATTTTTTTTATCGTTACTTATTTGGGATAAAGTCTAGTTCATAATATAAAGAAGAAATAAAAAATGATATTTATTTATTTTAAATTTTTAACATACATAAGTTTTTAAGTTTGTGTTTATTCCCATCAACCAAAAATATTGTACTTATTAAAATGTATTCAATTAAGGTCTTAACAAAATGTGACATGCTATTAGATATATTCCATCACCCAAAAACCATTTCTATGAGTTCCCAAATTTCCTCACAGAGAAAAAAATATCTAGTAGCATGTTATTTCCTCACTCCTCACGATTTGCCACTTGTGCAATGTATATGCTATATTATATTCATAACACAACTGGGGTAGACGAATTACAATAATTTAATGATAGGTACACCTTAATTTTAAACAGAAACTACTAACTTATTGGTAAAAAAAATTTAAGAAAAATCACAGTAAAAACATACATATTATTATTATATCAGTGAAACCCCCAAATACCGGACACTCGGTCACTTAAATGGTGTCTGTTAGGGGAGGTTTCACTGTATTTTTAATTTTTATTTTACCTAGTAAAATTTTAAAAAAATACTTAAATTAATTATTAAAGTATTTGATTTTCAAATACCGATATCACTAGAAAATACTTTCTTGAAGTGCTTTTAATCAAGTATTTTACAAAGGCACAAAGCTGAATATTAACCATACAAATTAAAATAAATATTTAAAAGGTATAAAAACAATCGATTTATGACATAGAGTAATACTCTATGCGCGAACCTTTCATCTCCGTAAAAAAACCAGTTCACGCACCACGGATATTTTGTCCTTAGGAGTTATTAGCCATAGAACGTTTAGTCTCCAGCATAATATATTGATGATAATACATTCTGTTCTCATATTATCATTATTATTAATTTCTCAAAAGTTCATTCTTTCCCTAAAAATATGTGTGCGTTTATTTTTAATGAACAATTAAAAATAATAAAAAAAAAAATGCTTGAAAAATGAATTATTTCCAATATACCTTGGTATATACGCTAAAGGTAAGTAATAAATATTATATATACGACTATACTATTTAAGATACAAGTCAATTGACCTGAAAATAAATTTATTTATTTATTAATAATTTTCAAGTACCTATTTAGTTTTAATTTATTCATTTTTACGACATTGAGTTTTGACAGTATAATTGTGATTTATTTAAATCTTAATTATTTTGTATTTGTAGCTTTGTTTTAAAACATTGAATTTTTCATTAAAAATTAATGTATTCGAATAAGCCGTTACCTAGATTATTTTTAAACATTTTTTTTTTCATTTATTTATTTAAATTGTTCATTTCCACTGATGAAACTAACTATAATAAATTATGCACACTATTTAAAAGACAAATGGCAAAACAATGTTCTGTTGACTTGACCAAAAAAACCCAGCTCCCTATCCGAAAATGATGGTTCTCTGTGGAAAACCACTAAAAAATTCTTAAAAATTAAAAAAATATAATTTCTAATAAAAATTCCAATGCAGTCTCGCAATAAACGATAAAGCAGAAGCTCATTTCCGAAGTTTGTGACCCAAATAACTCCACCACCATTCCTTCTATAGAAAACAAAATACACGATTTCCTAGATAGTCCACTCCCAATGACACTTCAGCCAAAACCATTTCCGCGGAATGGGGTAAGATCATTCATAAAAAAAAATTATATTTTAATTACGTAAATCACCCGAACATGATTTGATAACAGCCGAAATAGTCCGCAGGCCCGCAGCTTCCCAATAAAACTATAAAACGTTCATACCCCTCAAGTCACTCCTATATCTTAATTGTTATTTTTCGAATCTCATACCTACTTCCCAATTCAATAGAAACATTAGAAACTCGCCTCAATAATTCTTTTATCTAAACCAAACAAACCTTTATACCTCTCGGCTCTCCTCTAACAGGCCTATAAGCTTGCTACCTTTCTTCTCAAAACTCTGAAAAATTAATATTAAATAGAATCTGCCCAATCGTCGAGGAAGAGAAATTAATTTCTGACAAGCAATTTAGTTCTAAAGAACATCACCTGACTATCCACCAAATACACCGACTAGCCGATAGATACCATGGCCTGCTCTCAGGAAGAGAAACTTTATACCTCGGCAGTATTTCTTGATACCTATTTCTCAGGCCTTCGACAAGGTCTGGCACCCCAGCCTTCTTTTCAAATTTAAATCATTCCTACCTCTTTCCTATTACCTTTTCTCTAAATCATATCTTTACGAGCGACACTTCTATGTCACATCAGTAACTGAATACTCCTAGTATCTCCCCAATATCATCTCAAGGTGCAATTGCATCACCAACTCTCTTTAATCTATACTCGGCAGACCAACCAACCAATCCAAATACTCAAATAGCCGAATATGCCGACGACAAAGTATACTCCACCCACGTCGATCCTGACTTAGCTTCAACTTCTGTCCAGATCCACCTGAATGATAAATCACACCGGTACTCCCCCCGTCAAAATTAATGAAAACAAATCTGTACATACTCTACCTTCGTACACAGCGAAAAACCTTGGACTAATCTTCGACAAATGTCTAACACGGGCTAAACACATTCATGAAACAAAATTAAAATTAAACAAACGAATCTACTCTCCCAGACCCATACTCCGATACTCGGTAAGTTTTCAAAACTATTCCTCAAACCCAAAATTCACATCTATAATCTTATTATTAAGTCCATCTGGCTGTACAGTATACAGCTCTGGAGCACTGCCAAAATATCAAATACACGAAAAATACAAGAGGGTTCCAATCAAAAATTCTTTGACTCAACTAATGCTCCTACTCACCTTTCAATAAACTACTCTCTTCACACAGATCTTCGCATTCCTAAAATCATAAACCTAAATGTTGGATACAGCTGTCAAAAATAATAATAAGAATATATACGTTTTGAATGATAAATATTATAATATTGTATAGGTCTGACCTCAGTTCTGCACAAAAATAAAAAACATGATAAAGAAAAATCACTTGCTTATAAAATAAAAATAATGATATTTATATAAAAAAAGTTAATCAGTTCGATTTTTTAATGTTATTAGTTTATTACTTACACCAGTTAAAAAGTCTCCAATGGTTACGTTATTTTCATTTTGTCTTTTAACTAACTTTTTTAGTCGGATGTTGACAGTTTTATTGTTACTTCTTTTTGTACTACCTTCTCTTCGGGTTCACCTAAAGCATTCAATGCTAACTTGGCCCTATCGGCGTTAATTCCATTTCTAATTGGTCAGTTGGTATTACATCGTAATTGGGTTGTACAACTATATTATGTAATATTGTAATATGTATATAAATAAACTTTGCAAACTCCACGAAGCAAATTTTGGGTTTTTTCCTAGTCTCATATCTCTATCTATACAGAAACCCTCCAAAAGACTCAAATGACAATGGCCAATCGACCTAATAAATTTAACTTATGTATGTTTAAATACCTAAATAATTGTAAATTCATGCCTTCCTTGCAGGTACTGGTTCTTCCCTCGATCAAGACACCCAAGCCACTGGAGTACTGGACCTAATTTAATTTAAGAAACATCCACTATGCTTATTGTACTTTTTTGATGTATAGATAGTATAAATTCTAGATAAAAAAAATTGTTCATTAAAAATTAATGTATTTATTGTTAGTGAAATAAAGAACTTTTGAAGAAATTAGTCAACAATAATTATTAATGATTTAAAAATTCTGAGAACCGAATGTCGTATGACAAAACGTCCCTTTACCGTCCACATCATTCCATTTTTCTCACGTCTTAGTGCTCTGTGCCTCTGTCCATATTATTATTATGTACAGAGTGATTCACAAAGAATACTCAACCCCTTCTTTCCTTTTAATGATGAATTTATTCAAAATCTGATTTATAGAATTTTTAAATTCTTAAGATTTTTCTAAATTAGGTCCTTAAGGAATGTCCTGTGGACCGTGGTGACACAAACTTCTATTTTTCTAATAATAATTAATAACCCTCCTTGTTCTTATAAATTATTTAGAGGATCATTTTTTATTGTCTGTACATGTTCGACATATTATATTACTCAAAATTTAAACTATTAAGTTTTGAGTAAATCATAAATAATAGTAAATAATAATTTAAAAAGAAATAAGAACACAACCGTATACTGCCAATTAGGTATTTTAAAATGTGATTGACTGCATAAGAGTCGCGGTTATTATATTATATACCCTTAAAATTGGAGATTGTCCGAACAGTGAGCTTGGTGGTTATAAACTTATAATGTTATTTATAAGAATATGGTTAGATTGATAAGTGATAATAACTATCATAAGTTTGAATTATTATCAATAATTATCTTCGAAACATAGATAATGTTATAGTATCAATGCTTCAAAACAACATTTCGTATTCCTATCAATCATATCTTACCACAATACCACTACTATATAGACTGTGCTACTATAATAGTAGACGGTAGTATAAGTATAGTTGTTATACTGCAAACTGTTATAGTTAGTACTTCGGAAACATTGAGAGGTGTTGCACGTAGATGAGACTGTACCGTCGGGCTGTTCCTTAGTTAAATATTTCATTTTATACATTTATTTACAGTTCATATTATAATGAATGCTTCCACACAATACAGTATGCGATGGGATGACTTTTCTTCCCATTTTACGAACGAATTTGTGTCTCTACGGAATGATGAACAGTTCGTCGATGTTACATTATGTTGCGATGATCAATTCATCAAAGCTCACAAAGTTATTTTATCAGCATGCAGCCCTTATTTTAAAAAAATACTCATGGTAAAATTCAAGTTTGTTTTAACAATTAATTTAATCATTTTTTTTTTTTCTCGTTATAATTATTAATTTCTATAGATGAACCCATCAAAACATGTCACAGTTATTATGCACAATGTGGAATATGAACTCATGAAGACTTTAGTTGACTTTATGTATTTGGGAGAAGTACTCGTAAATCAAAATAATGTTGATAGATTTTTTAAATTAGCCAAAACATTCAACATAAAAGGATTTCAAAATGGATTCAATAAAAATGAAGTTAGTATTAAGATATAATTTTGGACAATAGAGTTACTACTTCATCCATCCACCTTGTGAGATTTCCCCTGCCAAATTTAAGAAAAACAAAATGATTTCTCTTTAAATACATTTTGCTTTTTAATTTCTTCAACTCAGTATTTAAGCTGCATACCCATAAACCATTGATATTGTATATAGTATATAAATATACCTACTTAATGTATTTAAACAATGATAATGGTACTGAATAGATGGTTCCATACTATGCCATGTATAAAATAAATTAATGTTAGATTAAAAAACAGTTATGCTGAATAATGTGTTTTTATACTAACATAATAGTTTTGTACAAACATTGTATATTCTTAGGTATTAAATAATTTATTATTTTCTAAATCTTTTTCAGACTTCAATTTTGCCTTCCTTATGTGAAAATGTAGAGCAAGATGTCCCAAAAAATGATGTTATTGATTCAATGGATAACCATGATGATGGATTATTTGCTAATCAACTAGATCAACTCAATCAACTTGTGAATCCCAATGAAATAATTGTATATTGAAGTTACCTAATTAATTAAGTGCAAAAAATATAAATTTTCTTTTGTGTATTACAGAAACGAAGAAAAATAGAACCAAATTATTGGCAACAATCTACTGAAACAACTCCATCAACACAACCTGAAAAACAGAGGTGTCATTCTTTGGATCCACGACCGTGTCCAGAGTGTGGGCGTCAATATAGCAGTTTATCTAACTTAAGGCAACACATTGAATTAATTCATAAACCAGGTTGTGTTGTTTGTCCTTTATGCGGTAAAACATTCAAAAATAAGCTTTACCTACGGCGGCATTTTATTAGTTTTCATGAAATGTTACCATCCAAAGTACAAAATACATCTGATCCAGGTACACCTTACGCTTCAAATCCATTACATTATCAATCTGATCAAAGCCAGCAGAGAATACAAATAAAAGAACAGTCTAATAGCCAACAATTAAGTTCTACTTGTTTTGATCAAAGTATACTTCCACGTTAAGTAGAGCTATATGACAAAATATGTAAAGCTGCTTTTTTAATGATTGTTGTTATTGTATTATTATTGAGTATTATCAAAGGCCACAGGTTTAAGCGTCTTATTGTAAATTTATTATTGGCTTTTTATGTGCAATTATATTAAATGTAAATACTTGATTCTTTATTTAAAAATACGCTATTTTTGCAGGCACATGTTCAGCAGGTTTATAGGGCACAAAACCCCATAAGTTTTAATGATATACATTTTTTGATTTTTTTTAAAGTATTTTAATAATTTTTGAAATTAATCAAATTCTGACTATGTGCCTGATTTCATGATCTCTAAATTAAGTATTACAAGATGTATTGTAGCTATACAATTTCTATACAAACCAAGAATTATATTTAGCCTGTATCTAATTTTATTTATAAAACCATTAAATATGGTGCTAATACATGTTATCCCAATAGATTAAAATATTTAAATCTCATAGTCTAATCAATTTAAGAATGAATGTATAAATGTTGTTTAATAGATACTTATCAGTTATCGTTATCCACTAAAAATAATTAATGCTACTAATTTATTAATAACAACTAACAATGTACCACTTTTGTAACCCTTTTTTGTGTAACTAGGCATAACCTACAGATCTAGATTCTTTAATTATAATGTATAATATTATATTAATTTTAAAATTTAACTTTAATTCAAATACTTTACAGCATTTATATAGAAACTATGAAACAAAAGTATATTAATATATTATAATCATATTATTTCTTCATAGTCAATATTTAATTTTTTTGTAATGTATTTTCATGATTTATGTATAGGTTAAAATTAATTTTAAGAGGTAGTAAAATTGTCAACATGTCCAGAAAAATAATATCATAATTTCAAAAATAATATGATTATTTAAAAACCAAAATACAATCATAACTCTAGTTGTCTAAATCTCTTATTATGACACATTATTCCATGAGCAATTGGTTAAATTGATAATTTTAAAATCTTAATATATTTTAACATTTTTTTTATTATTATTATTTTACTTACTTCAACGTTGTAAGGTTTTATTACATTTAGAATTTCATATATGGCCACCAGACTTACACTATTGATTATTTTTTTTAACAAATACCATTCTTGAAACTAAAGGCCACCATTTCAGAATTAGATTCCCTTAAAGATGTTAGTCTTTTTAGAACTTATTTAATATATTACAATCAAACTACACTTCATTACAAATTAATTTTAGCCTGGCTTTAAAACTTAATTTAATTATTAAGTATAAGCCTATTAATGTACTAGTTATATCAATAACCAAGTCAGAAATTGACTTCAGCTTCATTTTGCACTTTATACATAATAAATATATATATACAGTAGACATTGTTTATAATGACACCAGTTGTAGTGACATATCAGGTTTTTATTACTTTAACGTAAAATACTTGAAACAATTTAAATTTTAGATTTTTTTGTTGGTGCCTTGAACCTCATTATAAACAATATCTACTGTAAAAAATCAATTCAAAATAAGTTCAGTAATGTGCGGCCAACTTGTGGCTTTGTTCTCTTGGTCAACTAGGCGGGAAAAGCCAGTTGACATCACAAGACAGATGCTGTTCTGTAATTATCTAATTTTGAATTTAGTATTTTAATATTATATGTGCACCGAAATAAGACATGTTTGAGCTAATACTTGTCACATTTTGAACTGTGAACTAATATTGTATTATATTGTTGATTAATTTTACATTTAAATAGTTTAATTATGTTATTTTGTATGTTTCTTGATTATCTTATCAATATGGTTTAAAATTTGAATTTAAAATAAAATTTTTGAACCCCTTTAAAGTTACTTGTAAAAGTTGTAAATTATTTAGATAATAAATTGTATAAATATCATATGTAAAATAGTAATTATTATACATTATACATATATATATATAATACTTTTTAAATTGAAAGTACTACAGTTTATTTTACTTTAGCAATTTTTTGACATAAATGAAATTGAGAAATGAACTAGATGAACAAAAGAAAACATTTTTATTTTCAAACAATCCATCATGGCATAAGTCATATATACGAGTATGATAATATACAATTCCTAAATTTACCACCATCATCATCATCATCATCATCATCATCATCATCATCATTAACAACATCATCATCATTAACAATAACATCATCATCATCATCATCATCATCATCATCATCATCATTATAATCTCATCATAACACTTTGGCCCTTAATCACTTTTATGGAAAGAAATCCTTGAACCATGAAACAAGTTAATGGTACCCACATTTAGGTATGTGACTGAAATGTACACAATGCTGCAATGTAGCCAGTAGATATCCAAGAATATTAAATAGGACAAATAAAGTAAGTTTTAGTTTAATTTAATTAAATAGTTAACATATTATGTATATAGTTAAGTTTATTAGAAAAATGAACAGTTTACCAGTATTTATAATTAATACTAATATTAAAGTTATTCGTTTTTAATAAAATAATAAATTTCAATATATAAAGCAATTAAATCTAAATTGTTAAATCTTTTTGTTACATGTTTTAAAACAACTTGAACTACAACTATCATTAACAGATCAATAATTTTGATACAGACAATATTAAGAGATTAACCAATAAAGACTAGGAACTAATATTAGCTCAAATTAGCAAAAATAAATCAATTTTAAAATTACATGACTAAAGTGAAGTGACTTACTTAAAATCTATGATGGCATGTTTTAATTTATTATTTTACAATTCATGTTAAGTATTTTAAAGCACACTATACAATATAAATTATAGAACAGTTTCAATATAATTTATAAATAGTTTGTTATGTATTATAAGTAAAATTAAAATATCTAATTTCTATAAAAAAAAATAACAATAAATAATATTAAAAAAAAACATAAGAACACATAAGTAAAAAATGTAAATAATAATAACAGTCATGGGTTATTACTAAAGAATATTAAATATTATGACACGTTACATATAGATTAAAAAAAAAATTGACTTATGATTTTTTATGGCTCTAGGAGTCTGATATTGAATTATATCATAATTATTTTTTAAATATTTATTCTAAAAAATGATACATAAAATAAATATATGAATGTCTATAATATATAAAAAAAAATTTTCTATTAATTACAAACCGTTAGTTATTTTGTGATGTAAAAAAATGGTTTATACAATAATGTAATGAAAAAGGAAGAGGCTAAATTCAATTTGAACACTTTAAGATGGAGCTTATATAGTGATGTATGGATAACACAAATAAGAGGTACAGTTCCTTGAACATTGTCTGAGTAGGATAAAGTAAAACAATTTACTTATTTTAATTCAAATGTTAGTCACTGAATCATTAAGCAATAACAATAGACAATCTATTCAAATTGACGATAATTAATAATTAGTAGTAAATTATATTAATAGAATACATTTAAAGCTTTTTTTGTATAAGTTTGTAGAAAAATTGATATCAGAATTTAGTTTTTGTATGTGTTGACTGCTCTTATAGCACAACATAATATTAATGCCAAAACTAAACCAAAGAACTCAACTGAACCGATTGCCACAAGTAATACAAGGAATATAATCATACTCTTCCTTGAAGTATACAATAATTTTTCAGTGCATCCCTGGAAATAATAATTTATTATTTAAACAAATCATAAATTAGATAAAATGTTTGTATCAAAGAATTGTAAATAGATGTGTTTAATCTTTAATGTAACAACTATTGAAATTGTTAGAATTTTATTTTGCATGGTATAATAATTTTTATCAAATTTTACAATAATTTGTAAACTTTCTTTCATTCAAATCAATACTGCAAATGTAAATGCTTATCAAAAATGCATTTAAATGTATGAACTTGCTATGTTCTATACTATTCCTAATACCTCCCGATTAGTAATTACTATAATGTTTTTGCTTATTTCTGAACATAAATTAAATCAATGAGTTTCATACCTCGGAATAAATATATTCAGAAATTGGTCCTGAAGCCACAGCAGTTTGAGCATCTGAACATTGTTTAGGATCACCTTTACAACAAGAAGCGGGAATCTTATATGATTGTTCTGGAGAACTTATTGCAAGTCCTAGACTTTCTGTCTGTGGGTTATTATATTTGCTTCCAGCCCAATCAGAAGGGCCTGATGCACCACAACATTCAAACTATAACATACATTGAAATTATAATTAAATAATACTTATTAAGTTGGAGACAAATAATAAAATGTATAACATTGATTACGGGTTAACATATTATACTAAATGTATGCTTCTTACATACATGGTTATGGCTAAAAATGTACGGATTGTTTTTTATTTTAGATTCTGAGCGTAGCGATGAATGTATTGATTTTACAATGAGGTGTATTTTTACATTTTTTTTTGTGTCTGTAATTACGGTTTCTTGCAGTAAAAGTGCTTTGATTTTCTTCAACAGCAACTTTTCCGTTAGGAAAGTGAATCTAGTTGGTGCATCCAAATTCAAAATTCTCAATAGTTTTCAAAAGCAACAGGAAGGCAAACAAAAAATTAAGGAAAACCGGGAAATTTTACGCAAAAACAGTTTTTCAAAAAAATCAATTTTGGTTTTTAGTGTAACTGTAACAAAAATGACCGTAGATACATGAAATGTTCACTGAATATTTGTGTAAGCATTTTCTATACACCATAATATTTTGGTTTGTGTTGAACTATTTATAAGCGCCTAATTTTTTTATTATTATTTCTTTTTTTTGAGCCAGTCAATAAAAATTTTTTTTTGCTCGGTCAAAAAACTTGTAAATGTAATAAAAAGTTTCTTGTAAGTTGCTATTAATGAAAACTTTAAAATTGACATTTTTTAACATTGGATATTTACTCGATTTCTCTTTTAGCAATTTTCTTATTTTGTTGTAATTCCAAAACGAATTACTGTAGACACTTCAAATTTACTCCAAATGTTTATTTCATCAATTTACATACTTGATAAAATTTTAAAAATATTTTGACTCTTTTAAGCTGTTGGTGGACATTTTCAATTTTCATTTTTTTCCCTATAAATCTCAATAAAATTTTAGCAGTTGGGCCGAAATCATGAAAATTCAATACTAGACTCTTGATTACTTGTTACAATAACAGTTGAAAAGCATTAAAAATAAATAGGCACAATTTTTTTTTATAAGCATTTAAAGTCAAATGTTGACAATATTTATCAAATTGAAAATGATTTTGTAGTTAAAAATGCATACAATTTTCAACTGTTATAGCTGAGGATTGAAAGTTAAATAAGGTTCCACTTAAGCAGTTTTTTCGGTTCTAAGAAATACAAAAATTATATGAATACAGTTTTTTTTTTATACTTTTTAGGTCAAATTTGGACAATATTGCATATAAACACAAAGAATGATGTTTATCATTTTGTTGTAATTCGATTCCAAAACTGCCCAATTTTACATAGGTATGTTTAATATTTTTCCAGCACCACTGATAATTTAAGAATAACATTAATTCAATTTACCTGGTTACCTACTGTATTAATAATAAGTAATAACAATATAAAATATCCTAAACTGACATACCCTCTCCGCTCAGAATCGTTTTTCTAATACAATGATTTGATATCATTGAATTCAAATTTAATAGCAGCAACTTTTTAAACCCCTAATATACAGCTGAGCGACATCCAATTACTGGCTTTTTTATTAATAAAATTATTATGTTTGTCAGTGGCGGAGTGTCAAAGAAGACTAGACACACCTACCTACTTGGAATTGTTTAAATAGTACATTTAATAAAAATATTTTTATTACACATTTGAATGTCATAATAATATATATTATTCATATATATATATATATATATATAAAACAATGTATCATTTTTTTCTTACAGTGTGTTGGGGATTATTGTTGCACTACAATTAGACATGTCTTGCCAATCATATTTATTTTGATTTATTTTTAAATAATATTTGTCGACACATTATCAGCAAATATATTATTGTGACGACTAGAATAATTTGTTTTCTAGAGTAATATTATTATTATCAAATAAAATCAAATAAGATCAATATAAAATTTAAAATAAGATATAATTTGTCAAACTACTTAACGTAGTACAAACCGTTCAGCTATCTGCTCATCACCATTTATTGACTATTTTTCAGTGTGATTTTAGTTTTAATAATGCCAAAAGTTAAAAATGAATATTACGACAATTTGTTGAAGAATTTTTAATTTTTTATTTTAATGATATTATATTAAGAGGACGCTACAGTGAAATTTGTTGTCTTTGTCTTACAAGTGAGTACAATAACAAATTGTACACCTAGCAGATCACGTTTAGCTTTGTTAGCTTAAAAGTTGGAGTGAATTTTCCTCTTATAAAATTTAAAGGTAAGATTATTATCAAGGGCATCTCATAGGTTTTTTTTTATATTTTAATTTTTAAGCGAGTTATGAGTATTTTAAGATGTACAAACAATTTACAATTTTAACACTCATAACTCGCTTTGAAATTAAAATATAATAAAAAGCCTATGAGATGCTTTACATAATAATCTCACCTTTAAATTTCATAAGAAGTCAATCACT